CACAAAAGCTCCGGGGTCGCATGCAGTTCGCGGACAACCAGATTTTCGGTCGAGCGAGTCGCTTGTGTTTACAGGCTGTCACCGAACATATCGTCAATGGCCGAGATGAAATCGGTCCGGCCTGCAAAGATGCCATGCTGATGTATGCCAACATTCTTGAGGTGTGCAAGCCACGAATACTGGCAAGGCCTTGCCAGAAACCAGTGTATCTCTTCACCGATGCGGCATTTGACAGGACCGAGAACAAACCTTGTTGCGGCATAGGAGGAATCCTGTATGACAGCGAAGGTAAGGCACTGCGATTCTTTTCATGTTTCTTGAGTGTTACACTTATGCGGAAACTAGGACTTGATGACAAAAAGACCATCATTTTCGAAGCAGAACTTTTGGCATATGTAGTCGCACTGGTAGCTTGGAAAGATGCAATGAAGGGAAGACCTCTTGTCGCTTACGTTGATAACAATAGCGTGAGAGACCTGTGCATTTCTGGTCGAGGGCGGAACTTATTCGCAAAAACTCAAGCCGCACTATTCCTTACGATTGAAGACATGATCAGTGCCAATGTGTGGGTGGCGAGGGTACCAAGCCCATCGAACCCTGCTGACCTCCTTTCTCGCGAAAAGGTGGACACACTTCGTGTTGGCAGCAGGAAGATTAGGTCTTCGGATGTGGAGAGTGCCCTTAGTGAAATCCTCGCTTAGCGGTTAAGTTGGGGTTAGCCTGTCCTGCCATCCCTAGTGCACTAGGTTAGTCACTGCCGTATGGTGGTGTTTGACCGATGAGGATCGTGGATTCCCAAAGTCACCAGAGAAAAAGAGTGTTGCGCCAGCACATGCAGTGTGTTCACAGTTGCTGTGTACTTGTGCCTTTGCCTGTGAGTGTTAGAACTGCTCAGAAACAACAATGAAAGAATTTTAAGCTGGCGGTCAACTTGTTGATAGCGTTTTAAAATTCTTGATTTGAGAAACTCGGGGGAGTTTCGTTTCTGATGAGACTTGGTGCAGCAGAATACATCTCCGTGCAGTGTGAGCCACAGCGGCTCAAAAAGAAAATTTTCCCACCCGCCCACCCAACTCGGGCACATTCGCAAACAGATGCCAGATCTCGTGCCGCTCTTGCGCTCAGCTTCCTGCTGGAGCACTGGGCTTTAAAGCTTGCACATTGCCAGACTTGTTAATGACACAAACTCTTGAAGTGCCACTCTTCTTGAGATCAGCAGCTATGCTGATGCACCGTAGGCCGTTGCGGATGGGGTTAGCCTGTCCTGCCATCCCTAGTGCACTAGGTTAGTCACTGCCGTATGGTGGTGTTTGACCGATGAGGATCGTGGATTCCCAAAGTCACCAGAGAAAAAGAGTGTTGCGCCAGCACATGCAGTGTGTTCACAGTTGCTGTGTACTTGTGCCTTTGCCTGTGAGTGTTAGAACTGCTCAGAAACAACAATGAAAGAATTTTAAGTTAGTTTTACTTCTTCCGATTGAGTTGGAAAGAAAATTTGCAAAGTGATTTTATCTTGCGAGCAACCTTGAACACTTCTTGCGTGCAGCCCGAACATGTGAATGCTGGTGTACACCGCCGCGAGGACATGCTCAAGGGAGCAAGTGAAAACAGCATGCAACATGGGCATGGGCAGAAATTTCTGTCCCGCCCGCCCACCCAGTGATAATGACGCAAACCCTTGCTACTACTGCTTCTTGGGCCGCTGGTGTCTCCGGCTTGTCGACTTGAGAATGTGCTCTTGCTTGGCTTCCACGTGCCTTGGGCCTCTCAGGCTGTGCTCCGCAGCACCATGTGCATTGTGGACTGTTTAGTCCCATCGAGGGGTGACTATGCCTGCCGTAGCTTGTGCGTGTGGACTGCTGAGTCCCTTGACGGCCAATCTTGCTTGCACATACGATGTGTCTCAATCGCAGCCGCGGTTGAGCATGTCGGTGCTGGAGTGTTGCCCGACGTCACCAGTGAAAATGAAGACAGTGCGAGTGTGGCTTCCTGAAGGAATTTATGCAATACATTTATGTATATCGGTTCGCTGCATATAGATTCACTAATCATTTTATTTTCGCGCTGCCGTTTCTGCTCAATCGGAAGAACAACGGAGTAAATTAACTCAAGCTTCTGCGGCGCCTGTAGTTCCCATTGACATTTTGTCCCCAGGAGGCTTTGCGTTGTGTGCATCCTGGGTTCGTGAGCCCACCTGTGCTTGGATTCACATCCGATGCCCCAAATCCGTCTTTTCTAACAAACTTTCGAATTCAGGTGATGTCCAGTGTGAAGTGGAACGGTGCATTTACAATTTTGCTCAGCTCATCAAGCACTGTGCTGATACGGATACCATGTGGACCATCGAGGCGCCATCGCGCTCGCCCTTCTGGAAGACTTCGCTTGGTCTTCAAGTGTCTTCTTCTGCCGTTGAGGTCGACTTGAGTCGCTTCGCCCCAGGGGTTCGGGGTCACATAAAGTTTGCATCTTCATGCCCTCAGGTTTTGGCTACCATCGCCCCGCCTGTGTTGCACCCACCGCTTGTCAAGGCCAAATTGGATGCGGCTATGGGACGCATGTATCGGGCTTTGGCCCTCGTCATGATCAAACACCTTGATGTCGACGCTTCAGGCTTACCGCCTTTGTTTGCAGCTCAGGTTGGCACTGGTTTGCAGCCTCGCAAGCCTCTGCTTGCGTCAGTGCCAGAGTTCAAATACTTTGTTCGTGTGACCTTGAGTGCGGTGCCTACCCTGGACAACAAGCGCCGGCTTCTTCAGCCCTTGCGTGTGAATGATGTGATCGTGCCTGCTGGAGCTCAGCTGCTCCCGCCCCTTTACTTCACCGCTGCTGGGTCTTCGAAGGGGGTGCGTCTGCCAGTCAGCGGTGACAAATCTTGCGAGACATTGTGTGCCGCTAGCGGGTGCCCTCCCACTGCAGCAATCGCCGATGACATGATGGCGACATCCTCCCCTAGGGTTCCCCTGCCGGTTCCTCCTCCCCCTTCGGGTTTAGTGGATGGTTCGCCTTCTCCTTTTGGTTTAGCTTTGCCTGATCCAGGTAGCAGTGCTGCCGTGATGACTGTGACCAGTGAAGCTGAAGTGTTAGCGGCGGACATGTGCGACATCCCTACGCAAGCACAGCTGCTGCAGGTTTTCGATACGTTACCCGCAGAGATTCCAGCCAGGGGTGTCAGTGATGCGCGTGAGAAGGCCTGGTCTGCCGGTGCCTACTCCCAAGGCACTTTGTGTGCTTTGCGAAAGAACACCAAACTGTTTCCGAATGCTGTTCGATTGGCTGTGAGGCTCCTGCGTACCCGCTTTCCGCATGCCACGTTCGCCACGGTGGCAATATACTCCAATGTGTGCACTCCGATGCATCGGGATGCCAATAACTTGGATGGGAGTTCCAACTACGTGATGGCCTTGACAGACTTTGCTAAAGGGGGCATCTGGGTACAGGATGATGAGGGTCAGCATGTACGCGCCACGCCCCTTGGAAAGGCTGCTGGTCGTGTCCTGCAAGTGTGCGACAACCCCGTGGAGTTCGATGCACATTGCTTCCACTGCACTTTGCCTTGGGAGGGCTCTAGAGTCGTGTTGATCGGATTCACTCCGAATCGTGTCGCTTCTCTGAAGAAAGATGATGTGCGAGTCTTACGGGACTTAGGCTTTCCTTTGCCTGGCCACCCTATGCCGGTCACTTGTGCGACAGCAACGTGCCCTCCGGATCGCCACGGCAAGATTGGGGAAACTGAGCCTGTGGTCAGGCCTGTGCAGCCGACTCGGTCACCTGTGCGGCGGCAGCATGCCCTCATGATCAGCCGTGCAAGAGTGGGGAAACTGAGCCTGTGGCCAGGCCTATGCAGCAGACTCAGCATGCAACCTTTGGGGTTCCTTTTGATGAAAGTGAGTTTGTGCGCGCTGCTGTACGCGCAGGCCATCCCAGCTCTTCACTTTCCTCATTGCCGGATCATCTTGAGTCGTGCGTAGATATGCTTGCTAAGGCTCCGCCACAAGCTGTGGTAGATAAGAGGAGGAGATGGCTTGACAAGTGGACTGCGCGGGCATGTGAAATTGAGCGTGACCCAGACCCTTCTTGGGACATAGATGACCCGCACATGAAACGTGTCCTTTGCAAGAAGCGGCTGCAGCTGCTTGACGAAATCATTGCCGCCGAGGGCTATGATGATGTAAACCTTGCTAGGGATATTTGGTCTGGCTTTGACTTAGTGGGCACTTCGCCTGTATCCAATGTTCTGCCAGGGAAGGTTACTCCAGCCTCCTTGCACCCCAATGATCTGTGTGCTGCGGCCCCTCGGGCCAATGAGGCGCTCAAGGTTTCCTTGGGATCTTCCGGCGATCGGGAGAAGGACATCTTGTTGTGGGAAAAGACAATGAAAGAGGTTGACTCAGGCTGGCTCCTGGGACCTTACGAATGGGACTCTTTGCCGCAGGAGCATGTCGTGTCCCACAGATTCCCTTTGTTGCAGAGCGGGAAGCTACGTCCCATTGAAGATTACAGCAGGAGCGGTGTCAACTAAGCCTCTCGGCTCAATCCTGTTTCTGCTGCGAGTGGTGGGTGGGGCGGGGTAGCTGTAGATTCGCATGGTTTTCAGCAGCCGTCGGTGCCTCTGTTCACTGCGCTTGGTGCAACTTTTCATGGTTTTCCTTTACACGATTTTCACGATTTCCTTATTTGGCATGAATCATGACGATTTTATTCTACAGAGCACTACAACAGCAGCAGATATACATGGATGTGATGTGGCCGCGGCGGTCCCAAGTCCGTCGGCTGTAAAGTCTGGGTCTCGACAGGGAGCTCTGGACAGCAGAGGCGAGGGTTCAGAGGCGAAGCACACGTCTCTGAGGAGCAGCGCTCATGATGAAGAAGACGTTTCGACCAGTGCTGCGAAACTTTGTGCTAGAGGCCAACATAGCTACAGTTTTTCCCGGAAAAGATCATACAAACGAGCAGTCGCGCGAGCAGGTCGGGATGGCTTTGCTCGCTACCGTGGTCGTATCATGCAGGCTCACGAGCTTCAAGCCCAGTATCGCCCAGCGGCGCAGCAGACTCCTTCAGCAAAGCCAACCACATCCGGTGCAAGCTCCCAGGCATCAGCGGCGATCAAGCTTTTGACTTGGAACTGCGGCGGATTTTCCACATGCAAGGACGAATTTTACACATGGCTCAAAACATGTTCATGTGACGCGGTCTGCTTGCAGGAGACTTGGATGAGGGAAAGCTCGGAGTTTGTTGCGGGCGAGTGGACATGTGTGCAAAGCGGCGTGGGCACTTCGGTGTCCAGAGCACAGGCAGGAGTCATGATCATGCTCAAGAGGTCGGTCTTTGACAGCGGCACCATTCGCTACAATCATGTAGTTGCAGGCAGAGTTCTCCATGTCCGGGCGCAGAGCAAACACGGCTGGGTGGACATCATAGGCACCTACATGCATGCATGGGGGAATAGAGAGAGCGACACCGAGATCATGAAGAAGCGCTCAAAGGTGTGGACGGCACTACGCACCACCCTTGGTCAGATTCCTCGAGGCAGCCAGCTGCTCGTCTGCGGCGATTTTAACACGATCATTAAGCCCACCCCTCCTTGCATAGGTGCAGGCACTTGCGATGGCGAGAAGGAGGCCTCGCAGGACTCAGCCGACATGCTGGGCATCTTGCAGGACTTTGGGTTGCAGGCTGTGAACACTTTCGGCAAGCATGGTAGCTACACCCATGTTCTTGAACAACGCGGTAAGCAGTACCGCTCCTTCCTGGACTATGTCATGGTCAGGCGGCGAGGCGCTACACTCAGGACAGCCTCTCACATCATTGGTGATTGTCCAGTGGCTCGCTGGCGTGGAGGTGGACGGCATCTACCTGTGGCAGTCACTTTGCACTTCAGGCGTTTTCAGTTCGTGAAGCCCCGGCCTCAACCACCCTGGCCACAATGGAAGTGTGCCTTGCTCACCGCCAGGATTGCTCAAAATGGTCCGGATGTGCAGGCCTTCCAGGCACAGGTGGAACATGAGCTGAGCCAAGTTTCTGTATACACACCGGAGCAAGTGAACAGTATCATTCTGAAGGCCGGCCAGCAAAATTTTTCCATCGAGCGCCAATGCAGTTTGCAGCCACCCTGGGAACATCACCAACATGTGGGCGCCATTAAGAACATGTGGTTGCAGCGCAGACTTGCTAGCCAGCAATTTCGGCTATGTGTCTCAGGTCTTCGTGCGTGCTTTCGTGCTTGGAGGTGCCATCTTCGCTTTCAGCAAATGCATAAAATTGTGGCCCGCAACAGCAGACTCCTCCGGCGGTACCGTTTCAACGAACTTCTTCGTCGGGCCGAGGCTGCTGATTACCTCAACCGCGTGGATCAACTTTTCTTCTTGTTGCACAGGCATGCCCCCAAGCAGCCCCGAACACGGGCACAGCTTCGGTCGAGCACGGGTGCGCTGCTAATGCCACAAGCCGAGGCTGAAGCCTTAGCCACGTACTGGCAGCAGGTTACCACTGCAGCTGTCCCGAGCCAGGCACCGGAACCGCTACCTTTTGACATCCAGCCGGAGGCGATCCAGTCGGCCCTTGAGGCCCTGCCGGCCAACAAAGCCGCACCCGCCCACTATGCACCACATGTTCTATGGAGCTGTGCTGCACCCTCTGTGGCACAGGTGCTAGAGCGAGGGCTGATGCAGACATGGAGACAGGCAGCGGCCACGGTTCCGGTCGCATGGGCCGATGCATGGCTTACCTTTCTTCAGAAGCCCAACAAGGCAGGGAATGCCCCCCAACATCTTCGTCCAATTGCTCTTCTGGATCCGGTCGGAAAGGCGGTGACGGGCATCCTTCGCCGTCAGCTCGACACTTACATCATCCCACACATGGTGAAGCAGCATCAGTATGGGTTTCTTCCCAACAGGTCAGTGCAACAGGCCTTGGGACATGCTTTCATGCACTGCCGAACCGTTCGTAGCATATGCCAAGCTCAACAACGCTCCTTGTACGAGCAGAAGGCCGGGAACAAGTCGTTGGGATTGGCAGGGGGGATGATCCTAAGTATCGATCTGACCCAGGCCTTTGACAGGGTCGACCGTGGATTATTGGAGGCCTCTCTGATTCACATCGGCGTCCCGGCTGAATTTCGCCATTTGCTTCTTCAGTGGGTTCATGCTGCCCATTATGTTGTGCAACGTGAAGGTCACACTCAGCGCTTCGGCACAACACAAGGAATCAGGCAGGGCTGCCGACTTTCGCCATCATTGTGGAACTGTGCGGTCATCTACCTAACCCATCTCCTAGAGCAAAAATTTGGCTCCGATTGGTGCAGGCAACACCTGGTGGGCTATGCCGACGATAACCTCTTCAAGTGGACTTTCCGCACCAAGGCCGAGGCTACTCAGGCCATCGATGAAGCAGGGGACATTGTTGCTCTATTTGAGGGCCAAGGGCTACAAGTGAGCAAAGACAAGACAGCCATTCTTCTTCGACTGGCCGGCTCCCAAGCAACGGCCCTGCGCCGCAAAATCACCACGAAGGTGGAAGGCAAGTGTCACCTGATGTTGGGCTCGGACCTCACCCTGCCTGTCAAGTCTCAACACGTCTACCTCGGCGCCATTATTTCTTTTACCAGGTTTGAAGAGTACACTGCAGCTCACAGACGCCAGGCTGGAATCGCTACATACCATCGCCTACGACAACATCTGCGCTCGAAGCGAGCCTGGCCCCTACATAAAAGGATCTGCCTATGGAAAGCCTACATCTTGCCAACCGTCTTCTACGCGTTGACGGCTTCGCGTCTCACAGACAAGAGTGCCTCCATGATCAGGGTCGAGTTGGTCAAGCAGCTAAGGGCCATCGCGGGGTACCCCCGCCATCTTACCCTGGAGTCCGACGCCCAATTTCTTGAAGGGCTCGGTCTGGAATCTCCGTTGCAGATGCTTGTGCACAGGCAGGTCCGAATGTTGGAAAAGACCCGCGAGCTCCAAGGCACACTTCCACCACACGATGTCAGACTTGACCCGGCCCTGTTTGCACATGAGGAAAGTATTCTCCAGCAGTTCCAGACTTTTGTTCAGCCGGACTCAACAACGGGTGCTGCTGCCGATCTGCCCTGCCCTGACTGTGGCAAATGCTTTCCAACTGCAGCGTCCCTACGCCAGCACCGTGCCAGTGCACACAGGCGAGGAGAGGACAAACCGAGCGGTGAACGTTTCGACCGGCTACTTCACGGCAAGGACGGCCTCCTGCAATGCATCAATTGCGTGCACAAATTTCGATTATGGGAGGAGCTACAGCGGCATGTCGAGCTTGGCCGGTGCCAGGCTACAGCAAAAGCTGAGTATGAGGACGTCCACCCCCCGTTGCTAGCCAAAGTCTTAGAGGATGAAATTGTTTTCCCGGAGGTCTTTCATCAGATGCCGCCCCCGGACCTCAAGACCGAGCTCAACGAGAGGTGTGCACTGTGTCGAACTTGGCTCCCTAATGAAAATTACATGAAGGTTCATTATGGACGTGTCCACCGTGACGAGTGGCAGGCGCATAGTGGTCGTGTCCGCGTATGGTGCATGAACAACCTCCCGCCCATTAAGGGCACATGCCAATGGTGTGGACACAAGGACCAAGCAGGCAGGGATCACCGTGCCACATGCCCGGCTCTATTTCAGCTGGCCATGACCTGGTTCGTGAATGGAGGCCCGCCCGAGGCCGCCGATGTGTCTGACCTGGCCGGTACCCCTTACCCTTCCGCGGAGGATATAAAACCTTTGCGTGGCACTTGTCAGGTTTGTCTTGCAGATATTTCCAAGCAACGCTTCAAAACACACATGCAGAGACATCACGGCGAACTTTGGCGAAACATGCAACCTCGTGTGCAGCTCTTGTGTGCAGAGTGGACGGGCTCGATCACTATTCCCTGCTCCCTGTGTGGGGCAAAAGGCATCAAGAAGGCCGATCACGCACATACCTGTGTTCCTCTTCAGCAGCATGCCCTCAAACTTTGTATGGCCAGGCATGCTGGACACCGAGGTTCAGGATGTGTTCGCAGGCTGCCTGCCGGCTCTGGCGAAGCCCAGCGCGGTGAACTTTCAGGACCCGTTGGAGATCGAGGCAACGGCGGACCAGGAAATGCCGAACCGAGGCAAGAGGTCACGACAAGAGCCCGAGATGAACAAGGACAAGCAGCCTCCGAAGGGGGGCAAAGGCAAGGGCGGACGTCGCGACAACGACGGCTGGGGCCGGGGACACAACAGCTGGGGCAGCTGGGACTACAACCACGGCTGGGATGCCAACGGCTGGGATGCCAACAACTGGGGTGCTCCACACAGGCATCCGCGGCCGAACATGGAGCAGCTGGTGGAAGCCTTGTGCAGGCTGACCTTGAAACAGGAGGAGGAGCTGCAACTTATCCGCACCGAAAAGCAATTCCTGTTGCATCTAGAGTCAGAGCCACATGGTCTCCTGGCTCCGCTGTGGCAGGTGGCGCAGGCTTGGAAGACGGGACGGGACAAAACCCCGCCGACGGTTACCAGTTCACTTCGGGTGCCTTGGTGTGCGCGTGTGCCATCGTGCAGCAATATTGCAGATGCGCCGAGTAAGCCTCGGGGCTCAAGTCGTCATCGGAGCGGTAGTTCGGGGTTGGGGTGGTTTTTGTGTGTCTGTTGGGTCCCCCTTTCCCGCTTGCCCCTTCATTCAGGGTTCAGTAGTACATGCCATGGCCACTTCTTTGCTGCTCTAGACAATGTCCAGTTCGCTGGCGCGTCTTCAATTTTCAACTACAGAGGCGATGTTTTGGATTCAACTGCTTTGTGCCACTTCTACGGAAATTGAGGCAGCATATGCAGTGGGACGGCTGCCCCCCATTCCTTCCAGCTGCTGCTTTGGTAAGTACGAACGAGACCACCAATTGCAACTCTTTGACGGTCTGGCCACCCCGGTGGCTTGCGTGGAGAGCTGAGAAGGCCGGTGCTTGGCCCACTGTGTGGCACCAATTTGTTGAATTCCATTGTCTCTCTGCCAGCCCTTTCAACTTCGTGTCTGAGCAGGGGTATGTGGTCTCCACTCCCTTTCTGGGCAGGAACGTGCAGTCAACTTTTTTTCTGCAATTGCTGGACGAGTGGTTTCCACTTCCATCCTGCGCACGCACAACGACTATGCTCGGGCGAGTGGTCTCCGCTCCTGGATTGCACTGGTTGCCAGAATACCTCGAACTATCGCTTTGCATCATTATCGAGCCCACCCGGTCCCAAGTCCGGGCAGCGCAGCAGCATATTTACCCAGCGTTTACAACACGAAGGGCTGCGCTGGAGGTGAGGGTTCCTACTCCGGCAGGGGTAGGGGGACCCAACCCACCGGGTCACCACAGTCAAGCTAAGGTGGGGAAGACTGCACAAGGCAGTACACAAGGCCTCGCCTAGCGGAGCTGCAAGATGAAGAGGCACTGCAAACCTGCTGATGAGCCGGGCTCTTAGGGGCGCTCATACTCGGCTGATGAGCCGGGCCTTTCGGGGCGCTCATCTTCAAGGAGTGGCCAAGCGAGGTTTTTTCCTATTGGTTTTTCTGCTCCGTCTTTTACATGGAATTTGATTGCATGCGCAGCAAGGGTGATCGTCATTGTTTTTTCCTACATAGTGAAGGACGCTTCATTCTCATCACTAGTCTCTCGTTGTGGCGGCTACCCTTCTGGCCGACGCTTTTCCTTCTTGGATCGTATGACGGCAGGACGATGCGCTAACGTGCCTGCCGGGGGTGGCTACATTGCCCAAAGCAATGGTGACCATCGAAGTACTAGTGACGTGCACCTACTCGCTTGGGCTCACTGCCGCGGCTCTGGTGCAAATGAAGCATTCTGCACTCACTGCAAGCGATCGCCAAGTGGTACAGCATATTTTGTTACATGTGGTTGGCCTCATATCTTGTTTACTTTTATTTTGGGCGACACTTTTATTCAACCTTCCGCTGGCAATAATACAGGACGGGACGACAGCAACACCTGCCGCAGAGGCCGTGGCTGCCTTAATACTCTTCTTGCGCGGTCTGTCGTCGCAGCAGCCCCTGGTGCTCGCAGCAACCTTTGGCGCTCCGCTTTCTGCGTCTTGATGCGGCAAGCTATGGTAGGTTGGAGGTCTCCTCACCCATGCAGGCTCTCACACTGCCAACGGCAGTTCTTGCAGCAGACGTTGTCTTGGACTGTCCAGCTGAGCCGAAGTGAGAGCGACTGCTGAGCAGGGTTTGAGGTCTCCTCATCCAGGCAGACTGTACAGATGGTGCCTACAGTGTAAGCCTGTTAACACTGCCAACGGAAGTTCTTGCAGCAGACGCCGACGTGCGAGCAACTGCTGAACAGGGCCAGAGGTCTCCTCTCCCACGCAGCTTGTACAGAGGATGCTCAGGGTGCAAGACTATCGACATTGCCCTCCAAAGTTCTTGCAGCAGACGTCTCTGCCACTTTCCTGAGGCTTTGTGCTGAACTGCTCTGTTTATTTCCTTTCTTTAAGTGAGTGGTGCGAGGTCTCCTCACCACAGCAGGCTGTACATTGGAGCATCTAATTCGTAAGTCCTTGTCATTTTGATTTCCATGCCAAGCGAAGGACAGTGTATTTGATTTGCCCTTCACTTCATATCTAATTTCTTGCTGTGCTTATTGCATGTCTGTTGCCTTGGTTAGTAAGAGCGAGAACGCCGAGACAGCAGTTGGTTTCAGTACTCTTTGTCGTGATCGCTTCGCAACGGAGCCATATCACGCGCAGTTTCCTCTTGGCGGACCCTCTACGGAGGGGTGACAAGGTTCACACTCGCCCGCAAGACGGCTGACTCAGCTGAAGCGATTGAATGAATAAAAAAAAGATGCGCCGAGTCGTAACATTGCTTGCGAAATGCTGCCTCAGGACCGTGTTGCCGATGCGTCTTCAGTCAATGCCATATACCTGGATGTCGTGCAACAAGTCATAACTCTTTCCTAACATCTCTCTTGAAGTGGGGTAGGGTGAGAGATGACGGATTGCCGTTCATCTTCATGTGCAGTGGCACATGTTGTATGCGATGTGATGGGTGTGTGCACCCTTTTCTGCTTCACGATGCATGTTGACTCTCACCAGGACATACCCCGCTTACGTGAAAAGAGAGAGGGTTTGACCGAGTGCTTGAGCCACGACTTTTTATTATATTGGAATTATATTTGATTGGATTCCTCCTTTTGTGAAATACCGCTTTCGTTGGAAATAAATAAGCCTTCTCGCTTGCGAGACAGCATTTTATTTCCCAAACGATTTTCTGATTTGCAGTGCTGCGGTATGTGCCATGTGCAATTTCTGTCGTGCACTTTTGTGTGATTGCACCACTTTGCACAACATGTTTGCTGATGCGAATCCTTGTTCTCTGTAGCATTTGGGCTGTGTGCAGCCGTGAGAACAATTTTGTTCCCGCCCGCCCGCCCTGTGGGGTAGGGTGAGAGATGACGGATTGCCGTTCATCTTCATGTGCAGTGGCACATGTTGTATGCGATGTGATGGGTGTGTGCACCCTTTTCTGCTTCACGATGCATGTTGACTCTCACCAGGACATACCCCGCTTACGTGAAAAGAGAGAGGGTTTGACCGAGCGCTTGAGCCACGACTTTTTATTATATTGGAATTATATTTGATTGGATTCCTCCTTTTGTGAAATACCGCTTTCGTTGGAAATAAAAACTTTGAAATCCATTTTCTTACGCATGTTTGGAACCCGGGTTTAATCCAGCTTAAAACTCAGGTTCAAACCCAGGTAAAACCCAGGTTCGAAACCCACGTTTGAAATCCAGGTTCCCAGGTTTGGAACCCGAGTAAAAATCCCAGGTTTTTTAACCCAGGTGAAAACCAAGGCTTGAACCAAAGTTCAACCCAGGTTTCAAACCCAGGCTTAAAACCCAGGTTCTAACCCAGTTTCGCTGACACGTTACGATTTCGAGTTTTGCTTTTAAACGCTGTCACATAGCCTGGAACTGTGGAAACAGAGCGATTTCCACGCAAGATGCTGCTAGAGCATTGCTGGACCTCTGATAATGCTGCGATGGAAGTGCGCTCCGCCACGACGCCGTCAAACATGCCTGGACTAGCAGCGAACCGTGGGACCGCCGTGCAGATTGTTTGTGGGCTCGGCAAGTAAACCGGAAGTGAAAGCATTGACGTGTTGCTGTGGTTGTCACCCAATGAATGAAGCCATGAAACCTGTTTGGAGCTTGCGAACTGTGAAAGCATCAGACGGGCTCTCGTGGGGTTTTCACCCAACCTGGAACCCAGAGACCTGTTTTGAGCTCCAAAGCTTTTTAAACTGGAAGTGAAAGCATCAGACATGTTTCTGTGTGGTTTTCACCCAAGAAATGAGACCAAGGACCTTTCTGGTGGGCTCCGAAGCTTACAAACCGCAAGTGAAACCACCAGAGGTGCTGTTGTGTGGTCTTCACCCAGTAATCCTACCAAGAGACTGTTTATGTGGGCTCCAAGGCTTGTACAAGCCGGAAGTGAAAGCATCAGACGTGTTTCTGAGCGGTTTTCACCCAAAGTGATACCAAGAGACCGTTGTCTTCAGACAATGGGAAGGATTCCGCAAGGGACTGCGGGAGATGCGCGGTTGGAGTGAGCGCATGTGTGGATTCGGGAGTCAAGATGTGGTTGGGCGAGCGTGCGAGTGAATGTGCAAGTCAGGGAGTGCCACTAACTTTGGGATTGTTAACATATGTGAGATTTGAAGCAGTTCTCTGCAGACGCCCGCAGTGCAAACATAACGTGCACGCGGCCGTTCAATGTGTAGAGTGTTATATAGAAGTTTCTTGGAGTCGGTCTTCTTGCTTTCGAGGGCCCTGACGGACGCACTTTCTTCTTTCCGTCCACATTGAGGGGCGTCTAGCACGTTACGATCTGTGCGTCTCAGTTTCCAATTCAATTTTCGGAACCTCGGACAGCTGAGTGATTGAGTAAGCGCGGCAGGGTGTGTGAGTACGTGCAGGGGGAATGACTTTGGCAGCCACGCAGCTCCGCAGTTCCGCACAAAGCCCTGGAAGCACCTGCAAGAGACCGGGCACTTATTGTCCTGTTTGCCATGAGTTGAATTGAGCTGGAATGTGTCCCTGGTTTTGGGTCCGAAAAATGGGTATGGTTTGGGGTCTGCGGGGGGTGGCCTCCCCAGTATGAGCAATGTTGCGCGCACAGATGACTTTTCCACTCTTACAGTGCAGCGAGAGATCCTGCAGGACTGGCTGGAACGGGCGAGGGCGTCGGCCCCCCAGGGAAGTGGCGCACGCGCATGCCCCGTACTTGAGAAGCATCCTCCCTCCCTCACGGACTGCGGCACGCTACTGACGCTGCCCTGCTTTTTTTGGCGTGACTGGGCCTCGGTGACAGCGGCTGCTGCGCTCGGTTCCGAAAATAAAGAAGAGAATAAAACAAAGCATCAAACTTCTGCACAAAGTCAAAGGAGTTAGCTGCGACATACAGACTTAGCCGGCGAAGTGGTTCAGCACAAAATGAAAGTGCAAGCACTACCAGGCTTACTGGCCCCGCTCCCCGTATTGCCAGCCACCAAGTAAATTAAAAAAGAGTGTCGAGGAGCGAGTCATAGCGCAGGTTGTCGTGTCGCTTGTCTCCAGCAAATACCGAAGAAGTGGAACCGAAAACCAGCTTCCCAGCCAGCAGCGATTAATATGGTCGCCGCCTCACGGCCGAATGGCCAGGGCGCTCGTTCCATGCAGATGGTGCCCAAGGTCTAGGGGAGAATGCGTACCTCTGGTTCACGTGCCGCCCAGTACCGTGCTGCCGCTCCCTTGCAGTGCCGCCAGCCTGCTGCGTCCGCCATGCTAAAAACCCACTCCTGGCGCCCATAGCGTCCCGAAAGCTGCGGCTTTGTGAAAAAGAGGGGCACTGGACGAGTGTGGTATGTGGGAACAAGCCTGTGATGCAAGGCAACCACTCCAGCGTCCTATGAGCGTCTCAAAACGTGCACCGATCGTCCACTGCAAAGGGCAGAGCTCGGCGGCTGTGAACGTTACCGCGACACGCACGCCAATATGATTGTCCCTGCCCTCATCTCCCGCCAGCCGATCCGTGTCACGGAAAACCTCAACAACCTGTAGGTGTGGGTAAAATTCCGGAGAGGAGGACTTGTGTCGGCATTAGAGCACTGCAGTACTGTAGGGGCGACCTGCGGCGCCCTGGCCCCCAAGAGCCATCACTAGAAAACTGCCATCCTCTAGCCAGACGCTCGTCTGGGATGCATGCTGTGTTTGGGCCGCAGTTGGTCCACGAGAAGCCACCACCAGACCTGGAGTCTGGCTAGCTCGCGCCACGAGTCGTAAGCTTTATCGTCCGGAGAGTGTTGCAATGGTTCACACAACTCAGACTCAGCCAGTGCCGCACTGATGGTGAGAAGCGGATTGGCACACAATCGCCAAGCTTCAGTTACCGTGCAGCATCTAAGGCGCAGCGCCCGGGCAGCAAAGTTGCAGATATCACACCCGAACTGATCGACGTTGACCCGCAACGACCCCGCCGTCAGGGACATACTTTGAGTTGCTGCAGAAGCGCCGTAGCGAGCCTTTGTTGACCAATATGACTGCATGCTCTGCGCTAGGTCGACGGACGCAGCTGGCATCCATGTTGGTCGTTTCACAAGGATTTCCACCACCCACACCGCTTCTACCGGTTGGCTGATTGTCCACTGTCAGCGGCGCGCGCAAATCATGCAGCCCTCCGTGCCAGGAAAACGGGAGAATGTGTCATCGGCAACGTCCTGGACACCGCCAACAGTTGGACGGACCCGATGCATACGAGGATTGGAAACGAGCCCGGGGGGCGGTTTTCGACACCGGGCTGTGGTTCGCTGAAAATGTACTCCCGCTTCCCAACCACTGTCTTCAACCCAGATTTGACCCAGATACCAGCCTTCGAGCATGAACCGATTGGCCTTTTCCATGATTCTTGCTCAAATTGGCTGTTTTCTTTGAGTCTCGAACCCTTAAACCTTTCTTTTGTTGGACACTGTTCAGTGTCTTGCAGTGCTGTCGGACGGTTCTTCCACTTGGATGGAGTGCATCTGCGTATGGCTGCGGAGTGGCTAGGAGACCGTTTGCCGGTTGATGTGAAGTGTCCAATTGCCCAGTGCAGACTTCCGCGTGCGCGCATGTGCGAAAATGGTTTTTGCAACGGTTTTCTAGCGTTTGTGATTTGGGTTTACCTTGTTGAGCTCGTTTTGTTGTCAAATTTTTGTCAATCTTTCAGGGTGATCATGAAGCAATCATGCGGAACCGCGAAGTTCAGCTGATTAAGCATGCTCAGCGAAGTGACTAAGCTCATTGGCGTTGCAGCATTGTTGACCGGGTTCAGTGCCATTGTAACACTCCGTCTCCTTGTCATTTGCAGTGTTGATAAACCTGATTGCAGGTCGACATCCAGCTTGTAATTCTAATTTCCCATTGCAATGTTGTCGTGTGCACGTCGAGGTAGCATCCAAACATTTTTGTGTGGTTCAAGTTGTTCAAGTCATGCCATGGGCCATGGTTAGTAGTTCAGTTTGTGTGATTGTTTGGATTTCGAGCAAGCAGGGCTCGGTTACACCCACCTCAACAACCACAAACTCGTAAATACGTTTTTTCCAATGGCGAATTCAGCTCCGCTAATAACATTGTAGATTGGAGATGCTTTGTTAGACCGATGGAATGGAGGCCCGCTCCTTAGGGCACTCTGCCAGTTCTCGGTTTTGCATGACGACAAAACTTTGTCATGCGAGGAGCTGACGGAGAAGGTGGAATTGATTTTAGAGCAGGTAGCAGCGCAAACTCTGCCTGCCGCCATCGACTCAGTGTGTTGTGGGCATGGGTTCGCTCGCAAACACATGTGCAGTCTTCTTTTGACGAGGCCAAAGGTTCGCGGTACACAGATGGCAAATCGGTCCTGGCCAAATTCAGAGATGGCCGAGAACTGCAGGCATTGCACGAAATTTCTGGCATGCACGGGCACGTGTCATTTCAACAACAGCTGGCTATTGGATTGCTTGTGCTTGTGCTTGTGGCACGGAAGGTCGACCTCACGGCCGACATGCTTTTGGGTGTTGGTGCGGTGCTCACCGGTTGATTCAGTGTGTCGAACTAACGGTCAAAGCACAACGGTCTGGGACCGGGTGTGATGCTGTGTTCTGTTCTACGAAGGCGAGGACGACAAAGACAAGTTGGCAGAGCAGCTCCGATCCCAAGGCTCCCTCGCTGTCGGTCCTGCTGTGCAAGTACGGTCTGACTCGTTCTCTCGTTTATTTTGTCAGGCTTCGATGTGGAAGCAGTGGAAGTGCCGAGGCTCTTTCTGACATGAAATCGGTCCTGGTGGAAAGGGGCATCAAATCGGGCGCTTTGAACGAAGGCCTCCCCAGGCTAGCCACGCGCTGCAATGGAGCGATGCGATCTCCCAGGCAATGCATGCAAGCAAAGCCGGAAAGGGTGCATAGTGCATAGTCTACGCTGCGAGCTCAACGATTTAGCCAGCACCTGAGAGGCGTTTGGCAGGGCCTGGCTATCTCGAGTAGATGTGTCGGACTTCTGCGAGATGGCACGGGACAGAGCGGAAGTGTTGTGGTATCACGCCATGAGAAGTTCCGACTTGACTTGGCAAGCTTGTCACGTGATCCGACCATCATTGCAACTGGCACTCGATGCCACAACACTTGGGATCAAGGTTTGCAAATGCGGTGAGCGTTTGCTGAACCTCCGGCGCTACAAGCTTGCATATCAGGAGGCGCATGGTGCAATTCTGGGCTGGTGTTATGTGGGTCTTTCTTGAAGCCGGAAAGCTTTGAGTCACAATTCGGCAAAGCGACAGATTTCCAGCCCCAGTTTACGACTAGTTATGCGAAAGCACTTGTCGCTATGCCAGAGCACCTCTCCGGCATGTCAGGGCATGCAGTATGCAAGTCTCGAAGGCATTCACAGCTAGCAGCTAGCGCTTTTCAGTCTGTACCACGTGTCTTTTCAAGCCTGAGACCTCGCAGACGTTTGAGGTCTTCTACCGATACTGTGATCGTGCGGTACAGCTTCGGGCAGAGATTGGCCGGCCAGCGCTCCCAGCCGGTGTTATTGCGGCCGTGGTCTAGTGCCAGCAAGCTTTTTGTTGCAAGAGAAGTGAAGAGACGCATGTGGACCTAGGAACGTGCTTGGTGAACCTCCGTCAAGAAAAATTTCGGCTCCCCCCTCGGCCTCTGCGATGTTACGATGGGCACATCTCTCGGCACTTTGCTGCCAGGTCTACTCACGCTACTGCTTGGGAGCTTCGACTGCTCTCTTTCTGCAGACTGTTCACCGAGATGATGGGAGAAGGTTCGGAGCCATGATGTTCAGGTCCGAGGGAGGTTGCGCCCTGTTTGTTGTATTGCCCTGAGGCCGGACACGGTCCGCAGCTCGGCATTTCTGTTCTGCGACTCACAGCTGAGTTGAGAAATGTGGGAGTGTCACATGTTACGACCGGCAAATCATTAAAGCTGAAGATAGCCTGGAGGTGGACATCTTGAAAGACGTCCTGCGAGACATTCTGCAATCTGTCCAACTCATGTGCTCCCAGACAGAGGTGCTTAGCCGAGAAGCTTCACGAATCATGCATGCATGGACTTCACGGCGCAACGCTGAGGCGGTACGTGAAGAGCTTTACTGGTGCTTGTACAACAGCAGCCTCTTGACCATGCGTGAACCTCTCGGATCGTATTGTCTTGCTTGTGTACGCATGCTTCCAGCATCAGCCTCGGCAGCATCTTCCAATACCTCGGACCTTGGTTTCTGTTGCGCATAGGCATTGCGAGATGGCTCAGACTTCACGGCTTCGCTGAGCTGTGCATTCAACCTCTTTGGCTGCTCGGAGCTTAGCTCCGATGCCCTCCGACCATTTTACTATTCCGCTCCACTACGACACCGGCTCAGGATGGTAGAGTCCATGCACTCTTGCTTGCCGCTAATGGCGGTGTACATGATTCCCTTCCGAGCACGGGTGACGATGGAGCGAATTGCTCGTGGTCTTCTGGTCTGTAGATTTCCGCCTTGGTTTTGAGAGGTGACCCATGTCCCATGTGCCGCCTGACAGGAGCTAGCATATTGTGCCGAGTCTGCCAAGCAGCTCTCGGAGGCTGTGCGCCCCGAGCCAAGACATGTGTTTGGCTCTCTCGTGTGTTGTGCGAGAGAAGGCTGCTCTGTGCTGAACTTGTTTTTCCTCCTGCCGAGGTGTGTGTGAGGTGGCCCAGGAGCAGATAGAGAAAGCACAGAAGCTTGAGACCATGCTGCGAGACGCTCGTTTTTGGCTTGTGTGTTCGAGAAGCCAGGTTCAAGTTATCTCCACGGGGTCTCCTGGGATTGCCCAGGCCCCCAGTTCCAGCAGAGACGACGAAGGTCTTCGAGGTCGGGGGATGCTTTGCGCAGACGACAAGTCCGGCGTTTCAGCTAATGACCTGGAGACTCGGTTGTTGGAGAGCTGAGATTGTTGAGATGTTCTTTGCTGGATCGTGGCTCGTGCCGCGGAGTAGTCAGTCATGGCCCCATCACCACCGAAGGCATCCATTGGAACATAGAGAGGCAGATGCCAACCGGACTTGCACAGCATTAATTACCCTCGCAGTTTCGTAGTCGAAAAGATCGCCATGCACGCATCGCTCGACTGCTGGTAGCATCGGAGATGATGGAATGAATCCGGTGCGGCTCTCTGCGAGATTGAAGCTGTGACGGAGGCTGAACAGCAGTGTTGTCCCAGGCAGTGAACTTCGAGGCTTCCGGGGCTTCGCCGAAAGAGGCGATGGAAGCGGAGGCGGTCGTTATCGATGTGGGTCACGGCTTCTTGGCACGGCCGAGCCTCCCGTCTCAGACGTGGAGCGTCCGTAGCTGAGGCATACACATCGCCTCGGATTCGCTTGCTGAACGGAAGCTCGGATAGACGTGCGTTGCGAACACGTTGGAAGAGCGTGTGCAGTAGGGACCTGGCTTCTCAGGATTAGATCCATCTTCGATCGCTTTGACAAGGACAGCATTTGCGTAAGTCTTGTTGAAATCAAGGTTTTGGTTTCAGCTCTTTAGGGATTTCGCTTTGAGTCGGGTTGTGCCAGCACTTTCCAACTGGCTTTTGCTCGGGATTTGGAGGCTGTAGGGAAGGTCCTTGGGCATGGGCCGGGACTCGGCTTGGTGTTGAGGATGGCGGCGGAACGCTCGACAGGTGCGGGGGACGAACCAGGTCGCTCCTCATTGGCGGGAATGTCTGCGTCTGAGGTACGAACTCCACCGGGTCTTCAAAGTTCTTGTGCCGAGCTTGACACCTTTGTGGGGAGCCCAGGAAGCCCGAGCCGAGTCTGAGTCCGGCTCCATGCGCAGCCTGAGGCAGATCAACACCAGCTTCAAGCACCTCGACAAAGGCCTACACCGGCATAGTGCTGTGGCACAGGGCAACGCAACTTTGTGTGGGCCATGGGGTTTGAGCCGGAGATTCCTGGACTGTGAAACTTCAGAGCTGGGCTGCACAGGTGGAGATGGTGTGGTCTCTCGCGAAGAGAGTCTCGGCAAGGGAAGGCAGTTCATGTTGTTCCAAGTCAAAGACTGGTGGGAAATGTAGCCACTAGCCATAACATACTACTATCTTATGTTAGGAAAGACTATAATAATGACAACAACAATAATAATATACTTACTCTCCTCTTCGCTGCCAGCAAGGTTTTGCCAGTGGATCTTGACGGACACCGGCGAGGCAAAGAAGGCACATTGCCCCGACTGACTCGGCGGTTGAGAGGTCTCTTTATGAACCCTCCTAAACCCTTATAGTCGCCCTATAGATCCTTTAAAAAAGGCCACTCTTTCCTTCTTGGGTCCCTCGACTCTCTCGACGTCGGGAGCTTTGTTGCCTCTCCCAGGTCATGAGAGCTTTGGTCAAGGCAACCAGCGATGCCATCGCCCCAGAACTCAGAAGTTCAGGACTTTGGGTGCGCAGCAAGCCCTGCTTGCTCTGTATCTGTCTCTCTCTCTCTCTCTCTCTGACAACATTCCACATGAAGTCATGTAAGCAGAGCGCTGAGTAAGGGAAGCGAAAGCATCGAACGAGTCCCTGGATGCAGGCCCTCGCCACAAGCGTGAGAGAAGTACTTCGCCTGCAGTCAGGTCACGATTAGGCTTGTGAGCAGGCAGATGCACATTCCTTGGCATTCCAGATGCGGGCGAGCCGAGCTTTACGTTGAGAGGGGTAGCAGGGACAGCACCGGAAGGTGCAACCACAACCTTGCAAGGACCATGCAAGTGAATGCCAGTCGGGTGCAGCGCAAGAGCCCGGAAACAGCAAAGGGAGCCCTCATATTAAACCAAGGAGGTGCACCGCTTTTGCAGCAGATTCTGCAGGCACTGAAGATAAGAGCAGGGTCTTCTGAAAGCAACACTCGCTGACAGCACAGCAAATTGACTTTTGCAATGTCGTGATTCAAAAACGCATGTGCGACTGCAGCCTCAGGTATTTGCTCGGTTCGACCAGGACGGTGATGGAAAGCTCGACCGGAGTGAGCTTTGGAGGCACGGAGGGCCTGAGAACAACAGCTCCCGAAGGGTTCGGAGTGCTCGGCTTTAGCCTTGTTTGACAAGCGCAGAAGGACCAAGTGCTAGTTCGGTGTGAAGCAGACAGTTCCAAGAAGAAAGCGTGCCAGAGTTGACGTTTGTGCCGTCAGGGTCTTCAAGACGCTCGATGGGGAGCTTCGTATTCCGGAGATTGCCTCCTTGAGTTCTTGCCTAAGCCTTCTCACCAGGGAAGTCTCGTAAGACTGCCGACGTTCGTTTGATGCCGGCTGCTCACGGTTCAGCGGTTTGCAAGCGTATGAGTCGCAGCGAACCCTAAACCCTAAACCCCAGAAGCGGTTGAACGAGGCCAGGAGCTTGATACTGGCGGAGATGGAATGGCAGCTTGGATTCAAGGGTATCACTGGTGGATGCTGTGCTGCTTGCAAAGTTGCGTGGCCAGGTCTCGCACAAGGAGTTCCTTTCCTGGCTTCGGCAGGGCTCAGACCGAGCGCACGCGCTTACGAGAACGACTCTCCGAAGAAGAAGTCAGTCACCTGTTTTTCAGCTCATCGTCTTTGTATCTGCTTGAGTTTCGGTGTCCTGTTCGATGGCTCAGGTAGTACTTTGTGCATATCATACTCAATTTCCATGTTGCTGTAGTTCGTTGCTCGACCTCCATGTCCGAGCTGAACAAGTCACTCCTGGAGGCCGCATCCATGTTAAACTTGGAAGCGATCCAAAAGCTCCTGGCATCTGGAGCGGATGCGACACACATAGATGATCCCGATGGCGTGTGGGGTTCCAAATCGAAAAAAGGTCCCTTACATTTGGCTTTGCGGGCACGCCCTTTCAAGTCAGACGAGGCTGCGTCATCATACCAGCAACAGCTGAATCATTGGAAGGCTGTTGTACGCACGCTGATTGATGCAAAGGCTGATGTCAACGTTCAGAGTGAGGAGTATGATTGGCGAGGTTGTGGCCACACTTGTAGCGCGTTTGACCTGGTAATACCATATGCAATCCAGGATACCCACTTCTTGGAGCTCTTTTTGAACGCCGGAGCAGATCCAAACACTCGAAGCATCCACGATGTGCATTCCATGCGGACCGACGGGCGGAGTGACGTGCCGACCCTACACACGGCGGTGGATGGAGGCAACCTTCTTGCCGTGAAGGCCTTGCTGGATCGCGGCGCTGACGTGGATGCCTGGTCACTGGAACAGTTCTTCAATGAGCGGGGCTTCAATCGGCACACAGAGCCTCAGCTTCCATTGTACGTGTGGCTTCTCCTATTTCGGTTTCTGCCCATGCACATGTATTTGCAAGCAGGTGCTAGCTGCTTTGGCAGGTGTAGATGTTCTCTCAGGTCATGTCCAGTAATGCCAGCTGACTCGATACAAGCATGCTTATCTATTTGTGCCAACTGTTCCTGCTGCCGTGGGCACTTGAAGAGTGAGTCATGACGAGAATCGTTTCCCCTGGCTGAAGGAAGAAACAGCTCTCCATCGTGCCTGCAGCAGCAGTGCCTGTGTGGAGATGTGCGCAACCCTGCTGGCTCATGGTGCCAGTGCACCTCAGCTTTCTTATGATGTAAAGCTGAAAAATCTCACTGTGTACGCTGTCTCAACAACTTCGGTTGATCAGAATCAGGTCAATGCTCTGCGAAAGAAGCTTGAGCTCGAGAACTCCGGAGCGCAATCTCAAACCAACGATCCGCGGTCTGTGAATTTCGTGTCGTCCGTGACCTGCGTCCCCATAGAGGAGACTGCTCTCCACATTGCACTGTTGGAGAGAAACCCGGAGCTGGTGACGATGCTAGTTTGTGCTGGTGCAGACCCGAGCCTGCGAAGGAAGCGTGGGCAGTCCACGACGTCCTGTGAAGATCTTTGCCAGGGCCGTGACGACCTACTACAGGCTTTGGGGGCACAGTGGACACCGGAGACCCACAAGCATTTCCCTGCCAATGTTCGTGCCTCTGTGAAGATGGCATTTATGATTGCCCAGAGGCAGAACTGGCCGAAGACCATGCTTTTCAAAGTGTGTGCGATGTTTGCCGGCCCAGCCAAGCCTGACCTTGCTGTTCTGGCTTGAGAATTGGATGCAATTAAATGCTGCATGAGGTTCCTATGAAATCTTACTCAGTTACTTGCACGCTGACCTCTTGTCTCCTTGGCTCAGCGAAAGTTCCTTTCAATATTCACCGAAATGTTTATAAACCGAATGCCGTGAGATGAACTTTTAATTTGGACGGCGGCTGCGGATCATGTACAGATTGTCAGCAGTGGAGAGTCATTTGAATAGCTGTTGAGAAACAAGACAGCTCTCGTGCGACAGACTATGTTCTGGTGGAGACCGGGTCATCCTTTGGAGATCTTAGCATCGTAGCATTCAGGTTTTGCAGAGCATGGCGGCCGGGGGGGCAGCAGGGGGTTTTCTCATGCAGCCATCTGAGGATTGTGAAAGAAACAGGCCGGGATCCCGGCAGCTCATCTCGGTCTTGTTCCACCGCTCAGCAGGCAAAGCGCGAGAGGCGCGCATTCAGCAGGTGCCTTGTTTGCAACGCATGTGTCTGTGTGGATGTGTGCACAGTAATGTAGATATCCTCGTTGAAGTTTACAAGCAACTGCAAGGCATGCCGATGCACTCAGGCCTTCACGAAGTACGATTCGACTAAAGATGGCCAGCTGAACATTGAGGAATTGGCGAACGCCCTGAAGGTCGAGCTGCGGCGGCGGGCTGTGCAGTACCTGTTCAAACTGCATCGTGCGCCGGGAGGTTTTGGGAAGCTTCTCCTCCGACGAAATCCGACATGTTCGCCTGCACCTCAGTGATTTTTGAAACAGCTCTACTGCCCGTGCTGACGGCTGCATGAACAAGCATTCGCGTGCAACCAGTGAGAGTTGGAGACGAGTGTACGGCAGAAGGCGTAAGCGAGACATGAGTGGCCACAGCGTGCATCAGGGAGCGGGAGGGGTGTTCCGTGCGGAAGCCTGTCAACAAGGGCAGGATCAGGGTCTGCCCCAGTTTTGGATTCATCTGCCTCAAACATCCACAAAGTTGAACATATAGGGTGTGCATGAAGACCGCAAACTGTTCCATCTCCAAGTGCCGGCTTCACTTGCAAATTCTCGGTCCCTAGACGTGTGGTGGGTGCGCGTGGGTGTGTCAAAATCAGCCAAAAATGAGGGGTTGAAAGGATTGGTGCTGAGGCATGGCATTGCTTATCAGAGCCAACCGAGGTGATGACTTGGACAAGAGCAAGGATGGCAAGGTTTCGTACGAGGAGTTGCTGGGCATGTTGACATGCAACACCTTCATCAGACATGTCTCCCTGATTCGGACGGGGGGCGCTTTACTCGCGACCGAGGTTTCGCACCTGGATTCATTCGGGCAAAGGCAAAGAAGGGAGGAAGGAGGTCTTGAAGGCCAAGGCCATCCTGGCTCCCAGCGTCTCTCGTCTTCGTCCATCCTTCGTGGAGCCACGAAGGGTGACAATCACGCTGCTTCAAGATAAGGACGGCGACGGCTTGGAAGCGGTGTTCTACAACTTTTGCGGACCAGGGCAAGCCCTCCTGCTGCAGTATCAGTAGCCGCTGTCCCCGTAGCCGCTGTCTATCTTTGCTTCTCTTCTGCTCCGAGGCAGACCTGAGTGGCACGAACTTCCATCGTCTTTGCAAGGCGTTTTTAAGCAGAGTCGGCAAAGAGACTTTGCAATAGGAGGTTACAGGTTGTCCCTGGACAGGACTGCCATATTCTAGATGACAGGCTCGACAATGCATCCGCAGCAGGCTCAGTGACTCGGTTGGTGCATCAGCATCTTCAGCGTGTTGAGGTAGACTTGATCTTTTCGGATATCCGTGTGAAGGCAGCCTGCCTGTTGCTGGTCTCTTTCTGCAAGCTGGTTCTTTCACGTCGCAGCACGGCGAAGAACAGGACCACGCCGCGCGAAGCATCGACTTTCTCCAGTTCGAAATAGCGTCCAAAGCCCAAAAGCCCATGCTCCTGAGACGACCTTCGCACAGAGCCCTCAGAGCCTGAACCTCCAAAGCCCATAAGGTTGGAGCTTCTCGCAGAGCGAAAGGGTGTTAGCCGCCACAGCCTTCGCTCGGCCGTCTGCCTCCAAGTGTGCAAAAGCAGTCGTGGTGGGTGGTGCTGTTTTCAATACGTTATGTTCATTCAGGTTCTCCTGCAGGGACATCCAGAATCTCACAACAAGTCCCAGACACACGAGGATGAGCGCATCAACCGGTCGATGCCGTCCCCTTGTGAGTGTGCAGGAGCCACTTGCAGATGCTCAGAAGAAGAGGCTGGTGTGCAGTGCATTCAGATTGTGCAGAAGATTGCATGTTGCAGCTCGCGAGTGAAACATGAACCATGAGTTCTCATGTGGGCCATCACCTGTGCCCACGCCGCACCCTGATGGGAGCCCGAGATCGCGCTGCAGGCGGAGTAGCTTCTCCGGCCTGGATCCCGCGGGTGTGTCGGCAGGCTCGAGAAGCTGAGAAGGCCTCTTGCCGTGTGTGGTGGCGCCTCTGTCTCTGTGCAGTTCTGGAGAAGAAGAAGCCCACGCGCTGCAGCAGCCAGAAGCGTGTGGCATCCCTGCTCAAGCTGCCACCTGGCTGCAAGTCGCCGGGCGCCAGTGGGGGCCGCCGTGCCGTTCTGGGATCTGTGGCGGCTGCAAGCGAGGCATGAGACTCCTGGAAAAGAATCCTGGAGGAGGGTCGGAGTCTCGGTCGTGCCGCAGATGGTAACGGTACGAGCCGAGAGTGCAGTATGTCAGTGTCAGCCCTGAGTCCTGAGGATGTGGACAACAGCAAGCTTTGGAAAGTCTTTGGTCCCATGCTCGACACGGCAGACCCATGAGTTGCGAGTTTCGAACTTGTGGCCGAGGTCTGCACACACCAGCTGGCCGCAACTTGAAAAAGCTTTACGAAGCACCTTTTGCTTTGCCACCGCCGTGCTCTCGTGACTTCGCCAGCATCACAACCCGGATTGCATGGGTCGGGATGTTTTTCTTGGTCTATGCTGGATTCCTCGCAGGCAAGCGGCACGAGCACAGCTGGTCGAGTCCTTTCCTAATGATGAGCTCTGAACATAGCAGCAGTGTCAGCAGCCGTGTCCCTAGTCTCCCACATGTCCGTGTTCTTGAGGTTTCGTAGTTCAGCCGACCCGATGCGCTCCATGACAGGTCCGCTTCGTACGAGTCAAGGTCGTCAACCGCCAAGGCGGCTAACTTGCATCGCTTTTCTCTTGTTCTTCATGGGAAGACCGACAGTATCCTCAAGCCATGGCAGCTCAGCAATAGCATGAGCTTGATCTCGCCCTGCGAAGCCAGGCAAGCATGGTGAGCGAAAAATGTGCTCTTGGGCTGGGACTGGCGAGCTTGTGCTTCCGCATCATGGTACCGGTCCATTGCTGCAGTTTTCGTTGTCCTCCCTCCATCGCTTGCAGAATCTAAGGCTGCCGCGAGCTTGTACCGGGTTGCAGAAAAGTTTAGACAGAGCTTTTGCAAAATTTTCAAGCTTTATGAACACAGCCAAGCTGTGCAACGCCCAGAATGCCCCTTCGTGAAGGATGCTGCAGCACATGACCTCGAGTAGCAAACAGGGGCATCCTGAGCAGCTGCAGGTCCCTCGAAGACGGGACTGGTGCAACAACTGAGGCCCTTCGAAGAAGCTCCTCCCTACCAGCCCTCGATGCTCAGTCCATTGCCGGGTTGGCCATGAACCAATGGACCTAGCTGGCTTTGCACCCACATGCGATGGCCAGAAAAGAAGGTTCCCCAGCATGGTGTCCACAAGTGCCGGGCGATGGGTGCATATGAGAGCTGTGCGCAGAAGTTGCTCCAAACATCCATCAGGTGCACTTGCTGCGATTCAAGCTCCTCAAGGCGAAGTATGAATACTGGCTCGGGAAGGCGCAGTTCTGCGAAGCCCTCCTGCGAAATTCGTCTTGGATACGGCCGCCTGGCAGGTTCCAGATGCAAATCAACTCAGCGTGCGCATTAAGGACGTACTTGTGCTTGATGTGCATGAGCCCGTTATGTTGACCGAGCAAGCATTCTGCATCATCGCTTGATGTGCGATGCAGGAATATTCCCCCGACATGCCTGTGCTTGTGTCGGGCCCGCAGCATCAACGCTTGATTCGTGTGGTGCTCCATAGCTTTTCTTGTTCAGCTTGAGTTGCGTACTTGATTGTGTGAAACTGCAAGACATGCAATTAACAATTAATACAATATCGCACAATGAAGACATGAAGCACATCAAAGCTGCCACTAGCCAGCAGGAGGCACAAGTGATTCCTGTGTTCACAAAGCTATTCGATCACCTGCATGTAACGTCCTTTCTGTGCATTGTTGCCGTCCCCTGCATTTAATTCGCACAAACTTTGCATATCGGTTGGACCCTGGCCATGCACATGCTCGAGGTTGTTGTGTCAAAACATCCATGCGCTGTCCAATCCATTCCGTGCCATCCATCCGTCGGTTCTCCAAATCTCGCAGCCAAACGTCTGCGAAGATGCAGCCATACGATGGAAGATCTCAGTGACAGCTATTGGCTACGGCAGCTGTGAGAGCACCTTCCTCTTCCACGTAGTAGCTGAACTAGATAAACCACGACTTGTTCCACACCACTGCCTGAACGGCACACGGAGTCCAGAACTGTCTCGTCGAGTGCCCAACATTGACATGGGATCCCATGGCTCGCAGCTTTGGCCGCAGGGTTGCGCTGCTTGCATCAGGTGCTTCCTGCGGTTTTTCAACTTGCGAAGTAATGTTGAATGTCTGCAGCGGGGTGGCAGCGGGGCAGCATTCAGCAGTCGCATTGTGACAACCACGACCACAAATGCCGGCTCGGTGCAGTTTACGTGGGCTCAAGTCCGTCAGGTTTTTGGCCAGCATTGCCGAAGATGGCAAAACAGGCAAGAGACATGCCTGCACTCCCTCCAGATGATGAGCGTCCGCCACTGATGGAATTTCCCAGCTCAGTGAAGGCGTCAGCAGGAAGATCCTGGGGTGACTGCGCTTCGTCACGGTTTTGGTCATCAGCATTGCTCGCTTTGAGTTCTGCTGCCTTGGGGGCAACGATCATGATGTCCTTGAATGCCAAAGTGGCCCAGCCCGCCACCTTGCTTTCGTGCAACAACCGCTACGGCCACAATCAGTCAAATCCAATCCGCTTTTACAGCTCTCGTGCCAGCGAAGCTCTCGGAGAACTGAGTGAGGCGGAGGTGAAGGGGGTGTCCTCGTGGTTCATGAAGAAAACCGGAGCTGCTGGCTGCCGCTCCGAGCCCAAAATCGAGCAGTGGCTGGCGGGACCCTCGGCGGTGGAGCTTCTAAGGCCCAAGAAGAAGGAGGCCTTGGCTTACCTGGACGGAAAGGGCCCCAAGCCGCCGCGCTTCGCTCGCGTGACCCTGGCCACGAAGAGTTCCGTAGTGGAGTACAAGGTCGGACCCTTGGGGCCAGAAGGGCCCCTGCCCAATGCCACCATGGAGGTGCTGGTGCCAGCAGGGAGTATCGCTTACTCTAAGCGCCCGGGCTTCGAAGAAACCAATCTCCTAACTGGGATCTACAACCAAACGGTTCAGGAGGTGGGCAGCTTGCTGATTGAGGCCTTTGGGAAGATTTGGCCGCAGTTGGAGGGGGGCTGGGAGCCGGGGAATGGTGCTGTTACCTACTTGCCGCGGAATGATGCCTTAGCTCCTGCCGGAACCCGCCGGGTTCGAATCAAGAGTTCGCTGCAGCCTCCGTCCCCGTCTCGGCCTGATTCTGAATGGTTGTATCCTGTCCCCTTCGACTTCGAAGTGAACAAGACCGCATGGGATGTGGCTGAGTGGAAGGTCCATCATATCACCTTCTGTGGACAAGGGCCCTTCGCTTCCGCCGACGAGCTGAAGGCAGCTCATGCCAAGGGCGAGCTGAAGGTTTGCAAACCGAAGCTTGCCGTCGGCGACTGGGACACACCCCAGCAAGAGTCCCCCAAGTCGAGTACACCACGCACTGAGAGCCAGGAATCAGGTGTCGCTTGGGGTCCCTGGTCCTTCTCGGTCACTCAGCGTCCCTCTACCGGTATGGCCATCACGGACATCAAGTTTCGCGGGGAACGCGTGGCTTACGAACTGGCTTTGATGGACTCACAGGCAATCTACGGGGGTTCGGCTCGTGACCAGTTCATGTACTCGGACAGCGCCTACACGATGTCCCAGTGGAGCACCTCCTTGGAGCCAGGAGTTGATTGTCCTGAAGATGCGACTTTCCTCTCTGCTGTGAATTGGATGGGCCCCTCCATGTACAGAGCCCCAGATCCGAGCAAGGCCGATACTTTTTGGCCCATCTGCGTCTTCCATTGGGACGAAGATCATGAGATCTGGAGGCACATGGATGGTGGAATGACACGCGGGTACATCCGGAAGACGGTTCTCGTTCGCTCCATCGCAACTGTCGGGAACTACGACTACATCATGGACGTGAAGTTCCGAGAAGATGGCGAAATCAATGTCGAAACCCGTTTCGCCGGGTATCCTGAAACGCGCTACACTGGTATCGGCGAGAGGAGGTTTTCGACGATCGTCCGCCCTGATGTCGCTGGCATCGTTCACACACACAGCGTCGCCTGGAAGGTAGATCTGGAGATAGAAGGAAGCAAGAATGCCCTCCATGTCACCGAAGTTCGTGAGCACGAATCCGAAGGACTTGGAGTTAATTGGATGGCTGACCCCAACGAGAAAGTCTTCCCCACCAAGATTCTGGAGCAGCGCTTTGTGGAGAAGGAGGGTGCTGGGCTTTCGACTTTCGTTGCGGATCCCCGGGTGCCGAAAGCCTGGGCCATTGTGAACAGGAACAGCTCTTCCAGTGCATCGGGGAGTGCCCTCAATCCTCGAGGATACCGCATTGAGCTTCTTTCCTTTTCCACAGGCCAGGTGCACTCAGCGACGCATCCCTTCGTCGAGTCGATGCCATGGACCAAATATCATCTTGCGGTCACCCAGTACAAGGTGGGGTCTTCCATTCCTGATTACATGCATATCCAGAGCCAGCTATGTCGAAGGACCACGAGTACAGGCCGTCGTCACCATACGTGTGCCCTGGCAGCAGTACCATCGCCGGGTCTTTCGATTTCTGCGAGTTTTCAGAGATAGAGAGAGACAGCGAGAGAGGTACCTTTGATTTTGTGGATAGTATTTCGGGGCTGTGAGTTTCTTTTGAGCGGCAGGTGCGAGATTTTCTGGGAGAGGGCTTGAATCGAGCATCATGAAGATGTTAAGGGAGTGGGGGTCGGATGCGGAAGGGCAGGGGGATCCCGAGGGGGCTTAACAAATGCCTAGCAAGTGCTTGGCAAGAGCTCGGAGCTCAGCAAGTGCTCTGTGAATCTATGACCGGTCTGCGTGAGTTTGCCTCGCATGTGAATGTGTCCAGGTGCGCTTCGGCGCTGTTTTGCGCAGCAGTTTGCCATTGACAAGAAGCCCAGCCCACCATAGCACAGCTAGCCCAGCTCACAGGTGTGGTGCGCAACGCAAGAAGAGGGCCGGGTCTGTAGCGTGGGTGCCAGCGGGGTTGGGTCCGTGAGCTTGTCTGTCCGGTGATGCGTCCGGTGAGTGGGTTCACGCCATACCACTCACAGAAATTTCACAAGAATCTCAGACATATCACCGACAGACGTCTCCTTACTCAGAGGTACAGCTCATAGCACTCTTACAGACATTTGCAGACCCCCCTACTCGAAGGTACCGCCCACGCATTCGCTCACAGAAAGCTCGAACAGGAATCTCAGAAAACACATTCCAGACGTCCCTGTGCAGATGGGCAATATACCCGTTTAGAAACTCAACTTAACTGAGGAACTTTGATGGTCAACGGCCATGGAAAGATCAGTATGCGCAGGATTTGGATGTTTTCCTTGGAAACAACGCCTCTCGCATGCGATTCATGGGCTGTGATATTCTGATGCCGGTAAGTGGCCTGCTTTAGTAGGACATGTCCGGCGCCTGCCAAGGAGTCGCTCATGGATGAAGACCTGGTCGCTTGGATCGGGTTGAACAAGGACCTTCCAGGGCAGCTCTTGTTAATGCCGGTTACATTGACATTCGGTTTGGATGCTTGCTTTTGCATGCAGAAGCAGTAGCATCCTTATCTCATTGACTCCAGGAGCACATTGTCCGCCAGGAAGACATTCCACTTGTATCCAACTTTGGTGTTGCCTTTTCCCTGCAGCCGTGGAACTTCTTTGAGCTCAACACGGCTTCAAATCCTCCTCACTCCGCATAGACATCCCTTTTAACGGTTGTCCTTGCCTGTGCATCCTGCCTGGGGCATCTTCCGTGGTCCGGCAACAGAGATCCCTTGCGACTTTTCGAGCATAGTTACATCGTTCTTGCATTGTTGCATGGCTCGTCATAGTCACATGCCGTCTGCTACATAAAGGGATCATCTTGGAACCAGTCCGGCCGACCACCTCCAGGCTTGCAGACCCTGACAGATGGCCCCAGTGTATGAAAAAGTTCTTTCGCGTCATCCACACAGATTCCCTTCTTCTGCCAACTGCAGCTGTCATTGGGAGGTCGACACCATGCCAGCTTGGTCGATCGCGGCGAGGGGTTGCAATTCTCGAGGAGGGGCTGGGCAGCGATCCCAACTTACACATCTCACGCCTTGTTGCAGCGAGGCATCTTGTCGACCGCCGCGTGTTGCATGTGGTCGGTGGCTTCGGTGGAGCGGGTGCACTCAGCTGCAGGTTAGCACAGTGCTCTTTTGTCACATGTAAGCATGCTAAAAGGCGAAGAAGGACAAAGCTCACGCTGCTTGAGGTGCCCTCTCCTACAAGAAACACACGAAGCACACGATGCCGGGTACGCAGGTTATGCTTGTTGGCCACGTCAAGTCTCCAAAAGAAATGCGGAAATCGGCGTTTTACTTCAGCCACTGAGGGTGGGTCCGGGATGGCCTTGTGGCGGCAGCGGTGGCACCTGAGCTAAATTCCGACACTCTGAGATGTGGCAGCTTTCCCGTCGTTTTCCCAGGAAAGGGCGGGGACGTTCTTGTCAAGGTGCCTCGGAAAAGCCGGGTTTCTATAGATTCTTCTATACTTGTTACCTCGAGAGCTTGGGACTTGAAGGCTTCCGCTTGGCTCCCAGGCGAGTGACGTGCACTTCAGCCTGGCGCACCTCAAGGGACATGTGCAAGCTCCAAGCGGGCAATCTGGAAAACGGGGGAATCTCAACGGTGACACAGGTTGGGCGACGAACACACGTCATAGAGTCATAGAGTAACGCTGCTCGATCTTGGAGCCGGTGCAGCAAAGTTTGACATTCTCCAGCAGACGTTCCAGCCCAGGCCGTGACAGCTTCATAACCGTTCCTCGGGGTGTTATGGTGCGGGAGATGGTGCCGCGAGACGGCGAAGAAGCTGACCAGGCGCCACTTGTGCCTGGTCAGCTGCTGGCTGATCTGGACAAACCTGGAGAAACTGTGGTGGTGGCTCTCGGAGGCCGTGGTGGAATGGGTGACTCGCAGCATTTGTCCAAGACTCTTTCACATCTTTCGCTGTTTTTGTCATGTGGGTTTGACACGCTAAGCTCCCATGTGGGAATGGCGCGAGGCAACAATATGGCCCGGCCCCATGAGGCTACGCTGGGGCTGCCCGGAGAAATTCGCAAGATCGAGCTCGAACTCAAGATGGTGGCAGACGTTGGTCTCGTAGGGATGCCCAATGCTGGCAAATCTACACTTCTAGGGTCTGTGAGTCGCGCATGCCCGAAGATAGCTCCTTATCCTTTCACTACGGTTGCCCCATATGTTGGCAAAGTGCACTTTCTGGATGGGTCGTCCATGACCATCGCTGATGTGCCGGGGCTGGTGGAAGGCGCTCATGCTGGAGAGGGTCTGGGCCATGAGTTCCTGCGCCACTTAGAGCGAACCAAAGTGTTGCTCTACGTGGTGGACTGTGCCAGATCATCTGATCCTTTCTCAGACTTCCTGAGTCTGCAGCGTGAAGTTGAAGCCTTCTCCAGAAGCATGTCTTTCAAGCCCTGCGCCGTGATCGCTACGAAATGTGACGTGGATCCTGAGCAGACCTTACCGAAAGTGGACGCTTGGCTAAGAAGTCCTTTTTTTTACAGGTCTTAGAGAGTTTTGGAGTTTCTCTGAGTTCTGTTCTTCGTGCATCTTCCCCCTCAGCCCTCAGCTGAGGACCAGCTCTTTCGGCTGGTCAGGGAAGCCGAGGTCTTCGGCCCGGAGCTCGGTGGAGGAAGCTTTGGCGAAGCGAGCGTGCGCCGGTTCTGAGGCCAGAACTCGCCCATCTTCGTCCGGGCCATTTCGGCGCGATTCGGCGAAGGGGTGAAAGGGCTGCTGCAGGAGATGGGATCGGCGGAACTTTCTGTTCATGTGTCCTCAGAGCGATTCCTGAAGGAGCTCAGAGTCGTTCTGCAGGGCAACCACGAGCTCCTTGGCTTGTGCTAGACTGCCAGACATGGCAGTGTGGTGTCCGATGTCTCGGAATTTCGTGGAGGCGCTGGCTGGCCAAAGCTGCAGAAATGCTGCCGGCAGACGATATGCTGAGTCGTGCAAGCGGATAGTGCAAAACAGTTCCGTCTGCTGGACATGGTCACAGTTTGGGACATGTGGTCATCGTTCCGCCCCCGAGCTACGAGCTGAGATGAGGTCCTCCTTGGTCGAATCCCTGCAGTTCTTGCACGGATTGCCCCAGTACTTCGGTGCTGAGGAGTGGGCAGTCGCATGATCCAGCTTTCTCTGACGTCCATCTGCAGCTGTGTGCAGGACTGCAAGTCTGCTATGCTAGATGGCATGCCGGCCGAAGAGGTTCGGCTTCGCCCTCCTCCCTTTGAGCCATCCTCGGTTGACCAGTTCCAGGTCCGACAGGGAGAGGCAGAGACCGAAATCGAGTACACTCGCTACACGAACATGGAGGTGCAGGCGATTCACTCCTCGTAGGAGTCGGATGCTTGTTGAGTCGCACCTGTTTGGATCAAATGACAAATGTCCAGGCGAAGCAGACGAACCTTCTAGCGGCTTTGGCCTGGCACTTTGTCGGGGGTGACGGCACTGGCAAATCGTGGCGAAGCCTAAGCGTTCGAGGTCGACCTCATCAGACCCCTCGCGGAAAAAGCGGAGACTGCCACGGAGGCTGGGTATCAATAGTTGAATATAGGGCGAGGCAATCCAGAGTGGAAGGCGATGCCCTTGTCCCGCGCGCCAGGAGCTCGAGGCCCACACAGTGCAGCGGCTGAAGTGGGAGGCTGAAGCCGAGCGCCGGGCCCGCACGGACGAGCCCAAGGTGCGAAAACGCGGATGAACGGAAGGGCCTCTCCGCAGCCTCCGCAGCGGCTGTCGTGCAGGTGGACGAGAACGGGGAAGAGCTGCCCCCGGTCCGGGACTCGGCCACGGCCTGCAGCAGACTTTCACAGACTTTGACTTTGGGCGACTTTGGGCTCCATCCGGAAACGTACGAGGAGCCGCGACCAAGCAGACCTGACGAGGACAAGCTGGAGGCGCTGCCCGCGCTTTTGGTTGCTCGAAGGCGTATCAGGTCTCCCTTCCAGCTTGCCGCAAAGAGGCATTGGCCCTGTCCCTGTAATCCTGATGCTGTGTATCGGAATAACACGACCTCGGTTGGTGGATTGGTGGTGGATCTCTTTCTTCAGATGCGTCCCTTTTCCATTGGGACTTCCCTGCTCCCTGTTCTGTCGTGACTCCGTGAGTCCCAGACTAGACTGAAGCAGCAATGCTCTTGGCACTCGGGAAGGCTCGCGGTGTTGGTTTGTTTTTCGCCCTGTGAAGCTTGCAGTCGCCCGAAGTCGGGAGCGCCTCTTCAAACTCGGGCCAGGGCTGGGGCTTCTCGAAGGGCTCGAAGATGCACGACTTGGAAGAGGCCCCTTGGATGACAGGGCGCTAGCAAACGTGAGGTGAGCCATCGCAACTATCGCAGTTATATGCAGTCATCGCCCGTCACGAAGAGGTCCTTCCATTGGCTTCACACGTGTGGTTGTCGGAGCAAAGCCTGCGGCAGGACGGTAGCAATCAGAGGATCTCTTTCTCTTCGCTACCCTCTGCATGTGTTTTGAGCAGGAGATGCGGGGCAACGATGGGGCCAAGGCATGCACGCGTCTGAAGAAGTGGGGGGAGCAGCAGCCCAAGAAATGGATGCAAAGCCGTAGAGCGGGGCTTTACCGCCAGGGCGCCTTCGAGTTCCTCGAGCGAGCGCTCGCGCTGCGACTCCGTCCGTGCCTTTGCATTTCTCTGGAGCAGCATGGCACGAAAGCATTATGCGAGGGAATGTCGTGGGGGGGTCGTATGGTCCTTGGCGTGTGGGCTGTCGGGCGGACTGCAGTGGCCGTGGGGTGGTGTCCTGTGTCGCTTCTGTAGGGTTCAGATCACTTTGGCATGTCTTGTAGTCGTCAAACCTGTCATCAGGGTTTCCATTGCAGCTGGTGTAAGCTGACTGGTCCCGCAGGCGGTGTGCTTGGGCCAGCGTTTGTGTTCCACATTGCTTTTTGCCTCACTTGCGGGTGGGTCTGTGGAATCAAGGAGGATCTGTTGTGTCTGAACTGTGCGCGAGTTCGTAACCTCTGAATCGCGGGTGGATCTGTAGACTGAAGTGCTCCTGCTCGTCAAGCCAGCTGAGCTTTCGTTGTCCAGGACCTGCCTCATAAGGGCAAGGGGGAAGCCTGAAAAGGGGAGTTAGGGCTTGTTCTGCCACGCCACAATGGACTGATTAAGGTTACCGACACTTCTTGCGACCACCACTGGTGGATGACTGGGCCTTAGAGCAATTGCAATTCCACGCCAAGTATCTTGTAGTCCTACATTGTGGAGAGGTCGACGTGTTGGTGAGCAGCGAACCAGAGCCGGAGAAGGTCTGGACATGCTTCGGCAAGATGAGTATTAGAGTCTGCAAGCCTTGCCCCACTGGGAGGTGAGGCTTCCGGAGCTGTACGAGCTGTTGTCCGGCGACATCAACCAATTTTCCCCGCTCTCACCTCGGAAGCAATACTGGTGAAAAGAGTGGCGAACGCCGCGCGCCCAGGCAGAATCAACCCGGCGCAACAGCAGACGTAGACGAGTCAGGCTCGACACGACAGCACCTGAGGAAGGCTGAATGTGCTGTCTCTGCAGGAAGTCTGACGCGGAAGCGAGGCTGGCAAGCAGCAAATTCATCCTTTCCATATGACGAGATGCGATGAGCATCAGGCAAGCATGTCTATATCATGGGCCAACGCTTCGACGCATGGGAGAGCTGGACGGCCGAGTGAGCCCAACCAGGCACCCAATGACCCCGGAGAAACTGACCCCACGTCCAGGTATCCTGTGCCAATCCGTCGCTTGTGCGACCTCCGAGTGGCTTTCGTCCCTGGCTAAGTTTGGTCCAAGTCACCTGGATCGTACCCTTACCGAAAACCCAACCGTTGTGCGCTGCCAGATGCCGAATGCTCCGGCAGAAAACAGAGCAGCTCCTGCACATGCGCCGGGTAGTCAGATCGATCGTTCGGTGTTGGCATAGATGAGGTGTTGCTGCCCGTCATAAAGCACTGCACATGGCCTCGCATCAGGATTGGGATACATGAGCCTCGGCTCGGTCAGATCAATGGCAAGGCGACTTCCGTGACCCGGGACCCGGGCCGGCATTGATCCAGCAGTTCAATCATCCTGGGCAGGTCGTTGAACCCTGGATGGGCACTCCGTACAAATGCGCAGGCATGTCTCGACAGTTGCAGAAGCGCAACAGAGATGCCTCCTCCAAGCTCCCCTGATTGGGCGCGACACGCCAGCGGGTTTGGCCTGCAAGTTGCCAGGTGCTGGAGATTCTTCAGGCCAGCCGCAGCAAATTTGGGCTCTGGGCGGTTTGGAGCGCTTCGAAGCTGCGTGATTCAGGCTTCGAGGTCTTCGAGGACTCTGAAGAGATCCGACAGGCGGCGGTTGAGGGTGATAGACTTTGGAGCAGAGGCCCTGCAAAAGTCGGTACTGTTTTGTAGGGGATGCTCAAGCAGCTGACGAAAGACGGTCTCATCACACACAGGCCCTACATGCCGGATTGCCATTCTTTGTGCTTCATGTTCGCGCGCGTGGTCTCGTACAAGTCAATCACTGCTGGAAGCTTGAAGCGCGATCTCATGCCAGGGTGCTGGAAGTCCCCGTGGACGCGCATCAGGGGAACTCAGGATATCCTTTCGAGAGCTGGAAGATACCGGAGGCACCAAGTCCGGCATTTGCAATTCGGCATTCGCCAGGAAAGCTCTTGACTCCTTACATCTTCTTCTCTGTGTACGACGAGCAAGATGCTTAGACCCTCTGGCATGCTGAACTCCCCAGTCCTCACTCCCGTGTGTTCAGTGATGAACAGCCGAGGCGAAACGTCTGGTCAGCAGATGGCAAAGCGTGCAAGACCGGAGCCCAGCTGGCTCGAAGCCATCGGCCGAGCGGTTTGGAGCTGAGATCCCGTCTTTTTGCCGCAGGATCGAGGCCACTGCGCCTACGCTGGATGATGCGACACTTCTCCCAGAGGCCCGGTCGCATGTCTGGTGGCCCGTCGAGTATTTAGCTCTGTCTCAGGCAGCAGCAGAAGCGGAAGAGAAGCCCAAGGCACAAGGGGTCCTCCTAGTAAGCTAGGGCCAGGAGGAGTTGCGATGGTGGGAAGTTCGAGCTGGGCTCTCATGCACGACTGCACGAGACAGGCGAACAGCGAGAAGCTGCTTCCTCCCTGGAGCCCCCTAATGGATTCGGACCTCCTCTCAGTCACTCCGGGGGGTTTGGAGGAGATGCTCACCGATGTGGTGAAACACACGTGTGTGTGCAGTAACAACCGTTAACGACGGCCGTCGCTAGCACTCTGGCTCGACGAGTTCAAAGATTTTAGATTCCTGATCACTTTCGACGCCATGTCGACTACTCCAGCGGCAGCCTCGTCGTCGGCGCAGCCGATGCCTAGAAAGGCACCGCCGCAGCGGCCCCAGACGACGGTCGCGCCGGAGGCTGGAGTCCACGTCGCAGTCCGAGAGCTTCGCAACGTCCTCCGGAAGGGACGCGACGGTGGATTCGGCGCATGGGCGGAACTGGCGGCGAGCCTGGACATGGAGGACCGGACCTCACTCGCCGAGCTCCTCGCCGTGACGGCCGTGGTTCCACCGACTTCCCCACCCACCGACGAGGAACGCCGGGTCTACATGGGGAGGCTGTTCCCGCAGCGGGCCACGACGGAGGGGACGCCGGTGCTTGTGAAGGCAGCTCCAAGACCGCCGCCGACCACCTCTGCCACGCCGGGACATGGATCTATGACGCCCAGCTCGACGGGTCCCAGGACATCGCCGATGGCATCAACCACGCCGCCTCCACCGACGGGTCCCGGGAGCTCATCGGCGGCGACTATCCTGCAGCAGAGCGTCGGGGCGCCGCCCACGGCGTGGGCACACCAGGTGAGCTGGCAGCCGCCGCAGCCCACAGCGGCCAGGGACGACGACCAGGTGTCGGGCACGGTCTTCCTCGACGCCCCTACAACGTCGGCTACCAGGACTGCGGCGGCCTTCTTGGACCCGACGGAAGCGAGGGAGCCCGAGACCACGGCGTCGCCGACCATAACGGGGTTCCCGGGTCTCGCCGCAATGGAAGCCCAGTCGGCGATGCCTTCTGGCACGGCCACGCCGGCATACTACATCGACGCGGCTGGTCATCGGGTGAGGGCCCCGCCAGAGGGGGCACGACGTCCTGTCGACGCCACTGGCATCCAGACGCCGGCTTCGACTGTCGGCGGGGGGGGCGCCGAAGAAGTCATCAACATCGCCGCGTCACTGCTTCGGCAGGTGGGCCCCCGACAGGATGACGACGCCCACTCGACGGCCGGGAGCCAGACATCGGCAGCCAGGGGGCGGTCGACGCAACGAGGAGGGCGGCCGACCATGGACCCGCCGCCGCCTCCCCCAGTGGTCGACGCACCGCCATCCAGGTCCAGCTTCCCGCCGCTCTCGGCGGCTTCTACGCCATGGCAGTCCACACCGCCGAGTCCGAGGGCATCCACAACGAGAGCGCCGACCCCCCCGGCGGTGGCGGCAGAGCGCCCGGATTGGATGTTCCCGCCGGGCGCAAGGCCAGCAGACGACCCCGCCGGCTCTTCCATGGACGCCGGGCCTTCGACCACCACCAGGACGACGACACCGACGGGGGCACGCTCAAGGTCCAAGACGGCGGCGGGGTTCCGCGAGCACCTGAGCGACGAAAGGATCCGCCAAATCGAGATCAACATGACCGACGACTATCGGCAGCACAAGCGGGCCATGCATCGCCGGGGCGCTCGCGCCGTCGACGACCCGCCGAAGTCAGTCAAGCACTTGCTCAGGCGGACCCTGAACGACGTGATCGCCGAGGAGAACCTGGACAAGCAGGGCATCGACGGGCACAAGCCCAAGCCCCCGCCGACCTCGGCGCCCACCTACTGTGCATACTGGTTCTGCTCGACGCTACCCGCCAACACACGCGGCGCCCGGATCCCCTGGCAAAGCCAGGAGGCCGGCCGACGTGTGCTCGGTTGGTGCTCGCACCCTTGCACGTCGCCGCAATGCCCTCATTTTGAAGACCTTTACGACGTGGACTCGCCGGGCCTAGGCCGCTGCCTGCGTCCCGTCGTCGAGGGCAACGGCCGTGACCATATTGGTCACGAGTGCGCCGCATGCCATGGCATGGTCGGCGCACAGGACTGAGCTTTCACGACGCCAGCGGGTGCCCCTGTCACCCGGCTCCGGCCATCGGGTCGGCACCGCTGAGGCAGTCGACGGCGGCGGGGGCAGGATCAGAGCCCACCGCCGCCCTGTATTACTTATTTTCTTTTCGACGTTCTCGTCGTTGCCAGAGTTGCTTAATCTCGGCGGTCACGCCGCACGGTGCCTTTTGGCGGAGCCCGACGCACCCGACAAAAAGAGTGCCTTGCACCTGTTGCCTCGTCCGTCGCGCCTGCCGTCGCTGTCGGCCTCTCTCTCTCTCTTCGTTCGTTCTCGGTCGTCGCCGTTGCCTTTTCTGCTTCCGCCGCAGCCTTTTTCTGCTCTGGCTCGAGACGCCGACCAGCACTAGCCCCCCTGCATTCCCCGACCCAGGACGCCGGTCATGAACCAACAAGTCGCATCGTCGGGACCCTCCGCGACTGTCGCCGACTTCTTTCGCGACGTCGCCTCGGCAGGCGGCTCGGCCTACATTGCGACATTGGCCAGGTTCGGCGCGATCAACACGCCGGCAGTGAGGGACTCCTTCGCCGTCCTTTTGGAGAACGGCGTGCCAGAGGGCCTCTTGCTGCAGATCCTGGCGCCGGTTCCGCCGACGCAGCCGGAACCAACAGCGGCCAGGCCACCCAGGCACGACGTGCCGAATAGAAGGACCATACCCCGGGCATCTTTGACGGCGGCCTTGGAGGCTATGGACCCCGGGCGACGCCAAGACACACTAGCAGCCATCGACTGGCATCGTCGACCCGCCGGGCCATGGAGTCGCGAGTGAGGACGGTGAGCGCCCTGGCCGACAGAGGTCAGTTCCCCCTCTTCCCGCTCGACGCCAACAAGCTTCACACCATCGCCGGGGCGATGCGGATCGCCGGCTACAGATCGACCGGGCTGTACCTCGACGCGGTGGTATGGCACCAGGAGAACACCCTCCACACGCCGGTCACACCTGGACTTCGACGTGTGGTAAAAACCCTGACCAAGGCAGCGGCGAGGGGCCTGCCAGGGTCCAGGCTCAAACAGGCATTCGACCTCGACGAGCTCAGCAAGTTGGTCGACGATACGGCGCCATTCGGGCCCTTCAACGCCGGCCTGGTGGCCCACGCCGTCGACGTTGTCATCGTCGCCACTTGGTTTATGCTGAGGGAGGTGGAGCTCGCGGCGGCCCGGGTCAGAGACCTCGGCGTGACCTTGTCGACGGTGTCGCTCGACATACCCCTGCACAAAACGGCGCAGGGGGGGCAGGCCGACCTCACACGACGCACTTTCAGGTGCGTTTGCACTTCGACGGCCCACCCACTCTGCCCAAGATGCGCCGCACACCGCCACCTTCGGCGGGTACAGGCCTCCGCGGCCGCGACGCCGGCCGACTTCCTGTTTCCGACTAGACCGACGGTGCAGAGATCCAAGGCGGAGTCGGCAGAGATGTTTCGGCTGGTGCTGGACGCCGCCGGCTTCGAGACGGTGTACCTCGACGAACAAGGCAAGCGCCGCTTGATCTTCGGCGGCCACGCCGCCAGAGTGGCAGGTGCGACCTTCATGGCGATGAGGGGGGTCCCGGTCGCCGTGATCCAGCTGCTCGGCCGATGGGCCTCAACCGCCGTCGAACGGTATGTCCAACAGGCACCCCTCGCCGTGGCAGCAGGCGTTCCAGCCCAGGCCCTGGCAGCGCCGAGTTCGTCGACAACAACGCCGGCCCAGCCCCTGGCGACACCGACGCCGCCGGCCCTCATGGACTTGTTGCCGACGGGGAACGCAGCAGGGCACGCCGATACGGCGGTGCCGGCCCCGCAGCAGATGGTGCCCAACGTCGACTTCGCGGCTGAGGTGCCCGGCGTGGAGTTCGTGCCAGAACCCGCCAGGATGCCAGTAGCCGACGCGATCGGCGACTCGGCGCCCCGGTATGTCATGAACTGCCGCACCAAGATGGTGCACACGCCGGGGGTCGACGAAGCGTCGACAGAAAGGTCGGATTGGCAGGCCAAGTGCGGCTGGCCTTACGGCGTGCGACAGTTCTTTCGCCTGTCCGAGCTCCCGCCGGATCCGGCCTTATGCCGCAAGTGCTTCCCGACGGAAACCGTCGATGTTGAGGCACCGGAGGCGATCGACTCGTCGTCGAGCTCCTCGTCCTCCACTAGCGGAGCGACGTCGGACTCCGACTGAGTCACGCCGGGCTTGACCGACGGATCGCCGTCACCATTTTCCGCCGAGGGGTCGCCGGCAATAGCCGTGCGCGGCCCCGACGGCTCCGGCACCAACTGGACGACGACCCAGGAAAACCACACACAGCCCAGATCAGATCACCGTCGAGGGCTCGCGCCCGGAACTTAACGACGGATGTCTCACCCGTAGCCCCCTTTTCTATCGAGCACGGAAACCGACTTGAGACGCCGTAGGTGTTGGTTGCCATGGCACTCCCGACGGTCGCGGCCTCAATGGTGCAGCTGGACGACCTCCTCGCCGCGGCCGGCGCCAACGACAGCATCAAGAACTACATCACGGCGCGGAAGATCACCACGACGCCCACATTGGCCCTGATCGCCAAGGACGTCGAGAGGTTCACGACGCACATCATCCACCCGTACATCACCGGCATCCGCATCGACGGCACCGATCACAAGGTGGAGGACGGGCAGGACGATGTGGCCACGGCGGTCATGACCCACTTGTTCGTCGAGGCCACACGCCAATGGACGGCCGCTTCGTCGTCGCCGGTTCCAGCCCCGGCGGCCTTACCCGCGCCGGCGGCGACGCCGCCATCGACGGCCACGCCGGCTATTCCTGACAGGCCTCCCAAGACCTTCTCGGCGTGGAACCAGCAGGTCAACATCTACGAGGAGCGGCGCCTCGACGGGAAACGGCGGACCTTCCCAGCACATGAGCTCCTTGGCGCCGAGGAGGTGCTGGCCAGGATGTGGTTCGAGCACACCACCTCCAAAATGTATACGCCGGTCACCATCGGCGAGATCGTGTCGCGACGCACCTGGACGGCGGCCCGGACCTTGAACCCTCTGGCGCTGTCCAGGTCGACGTCCGCCGCCAGCTCCAAGGCGCTGCGGCTTGAACACGGCCTCCTGCTCCAGGAGGAGCCGACGGAGTGGGTACCCAAGGGCCTCTTCTCCACTATCGACGGAGCCAACGCCGCCCGGTGGGCATGGATCTTGCTGGGCATCGGCGAGGAGACCGACGTCATGACATATGTCGACTGGTTCGTGGCCCGCGCCAGGGATAAGTCCAACCACGTCGCAGCCCTCCAGGCATACTGGCAGCGGACGTCGTGGAACCTGGCGATGGCACTCAGGAACAACCGGTCCTTCGGCGAGGCCACCAAGGAGATCATGGACGACGTGGCCACCTGGCAGGAGATCCTCCTGTCCACGCCGCACCCGACCAAGAGATCCGAGAAGGAGATCACCGACCGCACCGACGCCCCCAACGGCCAGGAAGAGGACGCCGACGACCAGCAGGCATGGACCGGAGGCGGCGGTCGCGGTGGCCGCAAACGACGACGCCAAGGGGGCCGGGGCCGAGGGCGCGGACGCGGCGGCAAAGATCAATCACAGGGCGGCGGCAAGAAGAACGAGCAGGACACCAACGCCGGCTGGTGGCAGCAGAAGACCGACGGGAAGAACCAACAGTGGTGGCACGGCGGCAACGGCGGACAGTCCAGCCAGCCAGAAGGCCAACGCCCGTGGCGCGGCAATGGCCAAGGCCGCGGCAACCGCCGCTAGGGACAGCACGGGGCCCCGTCGAACGCCCCCGCTGACGACGGGGTACCCGACCCACCGACCAAGAAAGTGAAGCTCTCAGGCCGGCGACCTAAAGGCGACGAGGTGATCGTGCTGTCCGCTTTCGACGGCGTCGGCGCGGGCCCGTGGCTGGTGTGGGACCTGGTGGGCCAGCCTAGAGCGGTCTTCTCATGGGAGGTGGACCGAGCGGCGATCCAGGTCATCGACTACCACATCCCCGACGTCCGGCACCGCGGCGACATCACGGAGGACACGCCGAAGGCCCTGGCCAAGGACATCGAGGCGGTCGACCCCGACGCCCAATGCATCATCCTGTTTCTCGCCGCCCCGCCGTGCCAAGATTTCTCCAGGATCGGCGACAGAGCGGGTCACGGCGGCGATAGAGGCTACCTCTTCAACTTTACGGCTGAGTACGTCGCCGAGCTGACGCCGCTGATAGCACCTCGACGGCTTGGAAAATTGGTCGAAAACGTCGAGATGACGCAGGCAGACGCGGCGGCGGCCACCAAGGCACTGGAGTGCGAGCCCATCCTCTCCGACGCCGCCGACTTCGGGTGGATCGGTAGGTCCCGCCTCTGGTGGTCGACGATCGACTGGGAGGAGCTGCCTCGCGACCCCTCGACGGGAGAACATTGGACATGGGCTCTACACCGTCGCTGGAACAGACTGCGGCTGGACTCTCCCAGGGCAGCAGCCGACGACTTTGACCTCGACGGCCTCAAGTTCTCGGACTCCGTCGCCAGTGGCAGGGTCAGGCTGCCATGTGCGACGACACCAGCAGCCGACGAGGGAGGCAGAGCCGCACCAAGGTCGACGAGAGGGAAGATCACGTCGGACACCCACCAGCGGTGGCTCACCGGCGGACGGCAATTTGCGCCGTGGCACTACGCCAGAGACGCCATGATGACCGACGACCAAGGTCGACTACATCTGCTGCCGCCGAAGGTGAAAGAGCAGCTTCACCACATGCCGGTCGACTACACGGCGAGATCCACCGCCGGAGCACTCGACGACCGCACTCGACATCGCCTCATCGGCAACGGCTGGCACTGGGGAGTCGCACGACGTCTTCTTTTGGCGCTGTTGGTCTTCACAGCCACGGCACCGACGACGGCGACCCCAGTACCAAGATCACCTAGCCGATCGACGTTACAGTGGGTGGCTTCGTTGTGGGGACCCGGCGGTCCGATCATGGCGCCAGCCCCGCCGCGGACAGGTGTGGCGTACATCCAGGACCTCGACGAGCAGGCGCACTGGGACGCATCATGGTCGATGTCACACCCGCTGGCAGACGACGCCCCGTTGGAACCGTCGTGGGAACGACTCCTGGTTATTCGTCGAACTTGGCGCCACGACCTGGTCAGGATCCGAAGGGAAGTCGTCGACGAGGTCCGCACCATGATCGAGGACACAGCCGACGAGACCAGAGAGTGGCTGGCCGCCAGATCGTCGTGGGTCAGAGCTACGTACTCGACGCCGGATAAGCCGGCCCCGACGCAGGTGCTCGTCTTCCTACAGCTGCTCCGCCTCGTCGACTACCCCGACATCGACGCCCTCGAACACGACATGACGGAGGGCTTCCAGATGATCGGCGACATCCGGCCAGGACCCGGATGGAGGAAAAGGGACGACGGACGCTACCAGCACCCGACGGACATGGACACCTTCCGCCGGACCAACGCAGAGTACGTCCGCCGCAAGGTCTCCCAGCACGACGGCGGTGAATTCGCCGATCAGCTGCTCCAGGAGCTCATCGCCGAGAAGAAGCTGGGCAGAGTCATCGGCCCAACGACAGCGCCGACATGGCTGCACACCAAGGCCACGGCGGTGCCCGACCAGATCGAGGTGGACTCCCTGGTCGAACCGCCGCCCGGCGAACACTTCTTGGCAGGGTCCTTCCCAGTCTGCCAGACCGACGAGAAAGGCGACCTAAAGGTACGACGTGCCGAGGACTGGCGTCGCAGCGGGCACAACGCCACGGTCTCGGTGGACGACGTGCCGACACACCACTTCATCGGCAGCTTCGTCGACCTGGCACGACGCATGGTCCAGGACACCCCCGACGTCGTGGTCTTTGGCAACGACCTGCTCAACGCTTACCGCCAGTGGCCAGTTCGACGACCGGCGGAGTGCGGCACCTTCCTCTCGACCAAGCACGGCGTGACCTTTTGGTACCACCTGGCCATGAATTTCGGCGCTACGGCGTCGGTCTGGAATTTTAACAGGGGAGCCGACGCACTTCAGCAGCTACTCAGGGGACTGCTGCTACTGGCGACGGGTCACTACGTGGACGACTTTAACGGCCTCGACGACGCCCTCCTCGGCGAGTCGGCGATGGTATCGTTCCAGGACCTCTTCTCGGCGCTGGGCTTCCTCACCAAGGCGTCGAAGGCACAACACCCGGCGAAGAACCACATCGTTCAGGGCGTTGAGTTCCAGGTCGACGCACGGGGAGTCACCCTCAAACCGACGACGATTCGGGTAGACAAGATCATGGAACAGATCCGCCGGGCGCTCGACCAGGATACACTGTCACCCGCCGAGGCCGCCAAGCTCGCCGGAAGAGTGTCCTTCCTGACACAAGCGGCCTTCGGATCCGTCGCAAAGGCCGCTACGAAAGCGATCTACGCCCGAGCAGCCGACACAGCGGCATGGACGGCGGACTCCCTGTCCGACGGTCTCTCGGCGGCCCTACGATCCTTGGCCAGGATCCTGCCGACGATCAGACCCAGGTTCATTCCGTTCGACGCCAAGGAGATGGAGGTCGCGATCCTGTACGCCGACGCCTTCTTCACCGACGGGGAGACCAGGCACAAGGCCGGCCACGTACCCCAGGGGGTACGGCCGACGAAGAAGGCGGCGAATGGATGGGGATACGTGCTACGCATCGGCGACCAGGTCTTCTTCGACCACGGCGTCGCGCCGGAATGGTTCGTCAAGCTCTTCTCGACGAGGAAGGCATACATCTACATGCTCGAAGTGCTGGCCCAGCTAGTCGCCTTCGTCACCTTCGGCGCCCGTCTGCCGCCGGCCATTATAGCCTTCATCGACAACACCGCCGGACAGGCAGCCCTTACAAAAGGATACGGGAAAGACGCCGCGGTGAACGGCATGATTTCAGCCTTCTGGACGCTTGCGGCGCACCAGGGGTGGTTCGTCGAGTTTGAGCGAGTTCCCTCCAAGGCCAACGTCGCCGACGCAGTCTCCAGAGACGACTTCAGCAGGGCGACGGCCGAGGGATGGCACAGAGTCTCCACGCCGACCGACGAGATACTCTCCATCTTCGCCCGATCGGCGCAGGACCTCGAATATGCCACGACGGAGGCGGCGGACGACCTCCTTCAGCTAGCCAACGGCTTCCACGTCTGAGCCGGCGCGGGGTGGAGAGTCGGTGCGCACGGCGGGTGCAGAATGCGCCCCGGCACCGACTCTTCGTTTCAGCCTGTTGATTCGCCGAACGGCGTGCTACAGCGCTGCTACCACACGACGAAAAAGAAGTCCTGATTCGTCGCAGTGCTCAGTTTGGTTCAACGTCGGGCAGAGTGCGACGGTTGTTGTGAAACACACGTGTGTGTGCAGTAACAACCGTTAACGACGGCCGTCGCTAGCACTCTGGCTCGACGAGTTCAAAGATTTTACCCACCCTCACCGCCCAGTTTTATTTTCGCGTTTCGGCGGAGGGCGAACGACAGCGGGCCGGGTGCAGAATGCGCCCCGGCACCGACTCGTCGTTTCAGCCTGTTGATTCGCCGAACGGCGTGCTACAGCGCTGCTACCACACGACGAAAAAGAAGTCCTGATTCGTCGCAGTGCTCAGTTTGGTTCAACGTCGGGCAGAGTGCGACGGTTGTTATATGCTGATTTTCCGAGGCCTCCATGGCCACGCATCAAGTACTGGACCTGACTGCCATTGCGGTGGTCTTGGAGATGCCAAACAACAGCCGACGTCCCGTCGCGAAATACATGGGCTTTGACCCAGGTGACCAAGCACGTGCATGCATCTCCGCCTCATGCAAGCTTCAATGCATTACTCAGGCGAGATCTCTGTTTCGTTTCCTTGTGGCGCACATCTCTTCTTGCGATTTGTCAGGGCGGACCTCCGGCAAACTCCTGGGGAGCTCCAGGGCAAGCCCTTCCAGTCCGTGCCCTGGAGCCGAGCTGCCGCAGAGCCGAGCCGGGCCGCGACCCGACCCCGCTTGGAGGTTCAGGGGTAGTTATAAGTAGGGTAAACTATACTTATAACTCATATTAGGGAGCTCATAACTATACTAAGTATACTTATAACTCTACCCCTGAACCTCCACCCCCAGCGGGGGGCCCTTGAAAAACCCCAGAGGTCCTACGTGATGCTGAGCGCTGCCGTGGAAGCGCCGAGCCCGTCGCTCGTAACCCGCCGCCTGCGGCTTCTCCGAGCCAAGGGCCGAGCCGAGGGTTCCTTTAAAGGGT